AACTGGAGGCAGGCAGGCCAGGTTTATGGTAGGGGCCATGGTGGCTCAGAGGTTAAAGACGCTGAGCTGCAGACTGGAAGGTCTGTAGTTCAGCAGTTCAAGACCCAAGTGCTGCATGATGGAGTGAGCTCCCATCTCTGGCCCCAGCTCCTGCCAACCTAGCAGTTCGAAAGCAAGAAATTGCAAGTAGATAAATAGGTACTGCTTCAGTGGGAAGGAAACAACGTTCCATGTGCCTTGGTATTTAGTCATGCTGGCCACATGACAAAGGAAACGTCTTTGGACAGCACTGGCTCTTCGGCTTGGAAATGGAGATGAGCAAAGCTCCCTAGAGTCGGATTCGACTAGCTTTCGAGCAAGGGAAACCTTTACCTTTATTGTCAATTATAGGACATTTTGGAAGGCATTAACTCATAGCGTTTTTTGTCCTGGGTCCACAAATTTTGAAGCTGGTTCAGGGTAGATCTTTGCAACAGAGTGGTTCTAGACTAGGCTTGCTGAACAGATTATGTTCAAGGAGCTCACTCCTTGGAAAGGTTATATCCTTTTTCATACGACACCACAGCAACAGAGCCCCCCTCCCCATAAGCACTCTGTTGAGAGTCAATAGTGCCTATTTTGAAGCAATAGAGTAACAAAGATTCTATCTGCCAACAAGTTTACTGTATTAAGCAATGATAATTATGCACTTTCCTTAATAGTAATCCTCCCTTGCTAAGTGATCTTATAAAATATAAATTAACTGAAGCTGCTTTTGTTCTTTCCTGGTTGTTGTTGAGCACCCACCTACACAGAAGGGATTTACTCGAGTTTGCAATCACTCAGCAAGATATAGCTGCCTCAAAAAGGGAAAGAATTAGTTATATTTTGCAGGTGTAAAATTGTAGATGAACTTAAATTTTTTTTAGAGGCTATTTGTGAAACTATTTTCCCCATGGGTGATCTATATATTTTTATCCAAATAACGTTATTTTTTTTTGCAGTACAGAGTGGATTGCTTTTCAGTATTTTTATATAGCATTTTCATGACTTAATTGTGTCTCCTGTGGTATCAAAATAATTGCCTTTGACGAGGTTGCAAAAGTAAATGTGAAAGAAAGCTTTTATCAAGAGATTTTATTTTTAAAAATTGCTCCTTTGAGACATAAAAGACTTTTAAACACTTCCACAGTCCAATTTTACTCATTAAATGAGGACAGAAGGCACAATCCAGCAAGTTGAATGTGATTGACTGAAATCATTAGGACATGAGTATTTAAAACTATAGAGTCTGAAGCCAGCCCATGTGCCTGTTTCCTTGTATGTCCATTCCACTGAGTGCAGAGGATTTCCTCATGAAGATAGAGCCTTTCAGCCCAATTGTTATGCATGTTACTTATTCCCAAATCAGTATGCACAGAATTGCAGCCTTAGGCAGCAACCCTAATCTAAGAGTAACCACTCTGATTACACCCTGGGGTTTTTCAGAATTTAAGAATCTAATTTCATGTATAAGCTTCAAGAACTGTGTGTATTAAGTTGCTTCCAACTTCCAGTGATCTTACGAATGAATGCATTCCAAAATGTCCTGACAGTAACAGCCTGGCTTGGGTCTTGCAAACTGAGGGCGGTGGCTTCCTTTTTAGAGCCAATCCATCTCATGTTCCTCTTTTCCTGCTGCCTTCACCTTTTCTGACTCTTATCATAAGGTGACCCACGTACGATAGCCTCAGTTCATTCCTTTTAGCTTCTAGGGAGAGTTCAGGCTTGGTTTGATCTAAAGGTAAAGATTTCCCTTGCTCGAAAGCTAATCAAATCCAACTCCAGGGGGCAGTGCTCATCTCCGTTTCCAAGCCGAAGAGCCAGCGCTGTCCAAAGACGTTTCCATGGTCATGTGGCCAGCATGACTAAACGCCAAGGTGCACAGAACACTGTTACCTTCCCACCGAAGTGGTACCTATTTATCTACTTGTAATTTCTTGCTTTCGAACTGCTGGGTTGGCAGGAGCTGGGGCCAGAGACGGGAGCTCACTCCATCACACAGCACTAGGATCTCGAACTGCCAACCTACAGGCCTTCCAGTCTGCAGCTCAGCATCTCAATCTCTGAGCCACCATGGGCCCTTCATTTGCTCTATTTGTCTTTTTGGCAGTCCATGGTATCCATAAAATTCTCCTCCAATACATTTCAAATGAATCAACTTTCTTCATTTCAGGAACGAGCAACTCAGATTACTGCAGGGATAGAAAACCTCTACAGCTACAAAAAAGTGGTTATGTGTAGAGAGGAGCATGTGTGAAAAAGGGGTTGGGTAAAGATAAGGCTACTTCTCTGCATGTTTTCCTCTGCATCGACTTCAAAACTGATACGTTATTTTGAGCTTTGACATCATGCTGTGCTGTAACTGTACTGTACATACAGGGGAGCGGTGGCACAGTGGGTATATCCCACTGTCTTAACATCCGAACTATGTCAGTTCGAGCCCCACGCTGGTGTGAGCAGCCAGCCTGTTATCCCCAGCTCATCGTCCACCCAGCGATTCGAAAGCCTCTGCGTGTAGATAAAATGGGAACCACTCCTTAAGAGAGGGTAGGCACACCAACTCCCCTCTGGGAAGGTGTTAGCTGTCGGTTGGGGACATCCTGGTCCAGGATCCAGAAGGCGGAAGAATCTACTTGGCTATGAAAAATCCCTGCAGTGGGATGCTCCGGCCAGGCGGTGGCAGTGTGGTGACACGACATACAGCTCCTGAAGCCCCAACATCATCAAGCCGGTCGACGCAGCCGTTCGGGACATGACTGAGCCAAGCCAGAAGTTTCCACTGTGCAGTTACGGCGTGTGCAATTAAAATGAATTATATGTTGTCTTCCCTATCCCCTATGAAACATAGTTAGTCCCGTCTAAAGAGTAACTGTAAATCACTTTGAGCCCACTTGTGGGGAAAGCAATTAATAAATCGAAAGTATTATCTATATCTAATAGCCAAGTGTTGCCCGGAGTGTGGATCGCTAAATCAGCGCTCCGGGGGCACTTGGGGGGGAGGGGGAGGTTTGTGCACACGTGGGCCAGTCCCCACGTGTGCACAAAAATGCTAAAAGTAGAAAAAAATTTCAGGGGTATGTTTAAATCCCCCCGAAAGTGCAAGAGCGTTCCGTGCGCATGCGCACGGAATGCTCTGTAGCTGACCTCGTCGCCGCGGCACCGCCGCCGCCTCGGAGCCAGCCAGCCGGGCAGGTGGAGGACCGGCCTTGCTGCCGCCGAGAAACCCCCCTCCTCCCGGGGGGGATCGAGCGGGGGAGGGAATGGAGGAGACGGAGCTCTTCCCCCCCCCCCCCGCGAGTATCGCGGGTCCCCGTCTTGTTATTATTATTACTGTTTCAAGGTTTTCAACCACCCTCATTATGCTCTTCCCCAAACCTGCTTTACTCGGTTCTTTTTGGAAAGAATGCAGTTCAAGAGCATTAGCACTCTGTGAGAAAGAAACAATGCAGATTTTCTTGCCCCACAAATACTGTGACTTGATGGCAAGTTCATCTTCAGATGTCCTGCCTACATTGGCACTGTTTCCTGAGTTAATCCCTTGTGGCTGCTTGTCCCGGTCCCAGGATGTAACCCACACCCCTCAGGGACCCCAACAACCACCAACTCGCCTAGGAGACCCACAGACCAGGAACACCCCGCAACGCTGGACCCCGTCAGCACCGCCAGGGTGCAACAGCCTGGGCCAGCCCGACCGCGGAGCAACAGGACAGGCCAACTGCACACGGGAGAAGCTGACGGTGAACACACGCACGAGACCCCGCATGGTGGTGGCGCAGCCCCAGGCCAATAGGACCGCCACCAGCATAGCTCCAACCACACCCAGGCCGTAGGAACGTGTCAGAGCTTATAATAGGGGGAGGGACTGGGAGGAATCACAGGGAGGCAGGACTGGGAGACAGTGCTGGAAGAGGGAGCTGGGTATAAAGGAGAGGGAAACGAAGGGGCCGGGGAGGAAGGACGTGCTCGGAACTACATGATGCTGACAGAGAGGAGTCCAGGGAGGACGCTGAGAAGCCGATGCACGAAGGTAGAGGGACCTATGGAGTGCCATTAAACTCCGTCCACTACCCATCTGAGGCCCCAACGCTCCCCCTCTTCTTTAACAGACCTCACTTCCAGAGTCGTTGGACCTCCCCCACCTTGGGATGCCACAGGAGGGGCCGCACTGGGAGCCCAGGGCAAGCTTGACACTGCTGTCTTCCTTATATTGTTTTTTCCCATGCCACAGGACTTTAAAAACCAAGTCTGCAACTGCTACAGTGGTTTGGCAATTACTGATTTTTTAAAGAAAAGGAAAATGGCAAGAAAGTGCACAGAACACTCCAATTGTGGAAGCTCCATCACCAGTGCGCACAACTCTGCACTTGCTGTGGCGATGAAAGCAACCCAGAGAATCCTCACCAAGTGAAAGCAGTCTAAGGCTAAAATAATTTAGATTAGGACAAACTAATGTAAATAACTGTGAAATCATGACTTTAAATCTCAAATTGGGAAACATCAAGTGGAATTTTGTAATGGATTCACTAGAAGATTCCTGGCAATCATATTAATTTTAAAGCCAAGTTAGATATGAATAGTATTACACACATTTTAATCTGGCATTGTGGTATTTTACATATACATTTAGTTAATGGGCCAAGATTTTTTTCTCAAGGAAGCTTGCGGTTTAATTTTGCTTTAGTGCCGAATGTATCAATGTTTTGGGAGGGGATTTTTTTGTCAGATTAAATGATGTGAGTTTATTCCAACTGCAACAAGCACTATGGTTCACTTTCTTGAGCTACTTTGATAAAAAAAGATTATTCCCTCAGTTACCTCTGAGATGAACACAGAGTAATATAATTTATATATAATATACAGATACAAGCATATATGCCCTTCGGGTCTACATCAGCTTAAGAATTCTACTTTTGTAAAGTACAAATAATGAGAGATAATCATATTATCCATGCATTCTTTAATGATAAATACAGGGAAAATTGCAATAACCTATCAAAATTATATCTTAATTGGAAAGGTGTTTTAAAAAGGCTTATTCACATTGAGTTCAGATAATGTACAAACCAAAGTCTGTAAAAACACATGTATACTAGAGTGTAAAAGAATCCAATTCTAGTCCATATTCCAGTATTCCCACTGGCAGGCCAATATTGTGAAACAAGATCATGCTACTGTACAAATAAAGTACTGTAGATTTCTCAATAATGGTCTTTACATGTAGCTGCCAAAATAATTTACCAATAAGCATTAAAGATATTTTCTTCATCCACCCCAATATTACCCTCTATTGTACAACAATATTTGTTTCTCTTGCTACATCAATAACAAAGCAATTGTAATATATGGGGATGAAATTTCAGCTGAGACATGCAAGTAGGATCTTATTTCATACTATCTTTCTTCGTAAAATGTGGACTTCAGATCTTGTAAACCAAATACTTCCAGACTTTAATGCCCTGTATTTGAAGAAGGTTCAACTATTTTCAGCTCACTACAGCCCTTAGAAAGGTTTGATAATCAGGATTACAATGGACTGTACCGGGTTAGTAGTTTGTGCTGTTAAGTGGTACTATAATTCAGACATGCCTCATTCTCAATTTTTACTGTACAGTTGATAACAGGTGTCACTTCTGGTATCTGTCTGGAATAAATCCCAATATACAAAAAAGGAGATGAAAAACCAATATTCAATGCTTTGGTTTGTGAGCATTTTTGCTACTGAACAGTCTCTATTCAGATCTGAAGGTTAGAGAATCTATCAATATAACCTTGAAGAACATCCACAATGTTAGGCAACCCTTCACTCAAATCTGATAGGCTTACTGGAATAGGAAATGTGTACTTGTCCATACACCTAATTATTGGCATGCTCCTTTTCAAAGGGTATAGAAGCATAACACACAAGCACTTCAGGCATCTTATCATTGAGTCCACTAACTTTTTAGTGCTGTCTTTAAGTATCTGGTATTGGAATGCAGTCAGTCTTCTATCATCAAACATAACAAAAATGGTGTTTCCATTTCATGTTCTGTTTCTTCTGCTTTCTGGGTGTATCTTAAAGATCCAATAATATAGCCAGTACTTTATTTAAACTTCACAACATTAAATGTATTGGATGAAATTAACTTTCCATCGTCACTCTCCTTACTTAAGGGCTGGATAAAACATAGGCACATAACTGAGCAATTTTGGCTCTACAGAAATCTCCACTAAAATCTTGTGTGACAGCAACTCTGTCGAGGCTGTACCCTACTTTAGACTGCAGATGGGAGCTCATATGACTGAACACTTTTTTATACAAAATATTCCCTCTACCAAGGAAACTAGTTTCAGGAGAAAAGTTCTTGCCAAGTTTTCTGTGGGCAGAGATTTCTTCTCTCTCCCTTTTAAAATACATTCAGTAATACAAGCCCAATGCTGCAACCTGAACTGGTACAACCTAGATACAGGTCAACCGTTACAGACCTAGGACTGTGAAACTTGGTGCAACCAATTCTTGGTAGTGGAAGACTAGTACCTGTATCAAATCTAAACACTTTTGTAAGAACCTGTATTGAAGTAGATTTCTTCAGATTAACACTTCACATACAAACAAATAAATGCTCCCTCTATACTAGCAACTCTGCTGACTGAGTTTTGACTTGACAAATATTTTTCTATTGGTTGTGCATTTGACAAAAAAGGATTTTCTCCCCCTCTCTCCAAGACGAATACAGATTATGAGGAACAATACGAACAAAATATCAATAGCTTACTCCTGACAGTCAAGAGTTCATTTCAAATCCTATTCCTTGTGAACAGTAAGTATTGTTTATAAAGCTAGTTCTGGCTTATGTCAGACAAGAGGCAAGATTTGTTTTTTCATTTTATTAATCCTTATCTAAATTGAATTCAGTAAGCAACTGTCAGCCATTTATTGCCATAAGGCTAGTTGGGCAAGTACATCTTTTTTCTACTGTAAATAATCTCTGGGTGGCAGGCGTAGCGCAGCTGGCATTCAAAAGCACTCAAGATGAATCAGTCAAACATACACAACAGAGCCCTTACTGAACACAAAACATGGTTTTACAAGAATGCATGAAAGGTTTAGGCCCTTTTGTGACATAATGTGCTTGTCCATGGAAGTATTTCTGGAATGATTCCCAAAGCAGAAGAAAAAAAGGTTACTTCAGAATTGGTTATCCTCATGATTTTTTAACGGAATGCTCTTATGAGCAGGGCCAGACATAAACTTAGTATTCTGTTCACAGATCTTGCCTGAAAAATCTACACAGATGACCAGCCGAAATGTAGTGTTATTGGTGTGAGTGTGCCAAAGATTATGTCAAGGCAGTCCAGTGTGGGAATTTAACACAATGTGGGAATCAGCCCTAGGTCTTAAAATAAAAATTATTTGAGAGACAGACATTTAATGTAGTTGGTATATAGGGATGAAGACTGATCCTCCGGTAGAACATAAAGGTAAAAAAGCATCCAGGATAAGTATGTCTTCACTTCTTCTGGCAATTGTACTAGACAATATGAAATTTTCTCTTATTTCCTTTGTTTCCTCAGTACAACACATTCCATTTTATACAATGATCTCAAGAAATACTACAGAATTATAAGTTTTAGAGCAAAAGAGAATAAGGTGAAATTCACGTATTCGTCACTTGGTTACAAAACAACAACTAGAAACATGTTTTTTGTTGTTGTGGTCCAATTGTTCTTCTGTAGCTTTTAAAAGTATCTCTTGTTTTACCACTCAATATGCAAATAAATTACGGCGCTTACTGTGATGAAATATAACACTGAGTGTTCAGTATATAGGACATTTGGGGTGGGGGAGCAGGATGAAAGAAATCTAGGAACAGGTTATACAAATACATGTAAGATTTTAAAATCTTTTGGATCCAAGGATCCAAATTCTGATCATATAACTAATCTGTCTCAAACTGAACTCAAGAACCATTTGGCAGCAAAAATAGAGACTGCGTGTTCTGTGTTGAAGAAGGCTACAGACTTGCAGAGTGAAACTTAGAATCTAAGATGTAACCACACAGGCACAGAGAATAACTTGCATGATTTTTTTCTTTAAGTGAGACAAAAATCTTCTAATCACAGTTTAAGCACTGCTCTCCAGGTAACCCGTAACTGGATCAGGATGAAAGTACTGGTCACAGCTGAAGCCAGGCCAACTCCTCAGGTGGTTCAGACAGCCTAGTTTGATTTACCTGTCCTTTGTAGAGCAATTCTCAGCATTCTGGAGGGGTGGGGTGAAACCTCTGTGCTGAGTAATTATCTTGCTGGTGGAAGCATAGGCATCTTTAGTACATACGGTCCTTACAAAGATTTATAGCTCAGAACACTGAAGACTTAATGTTCCATACCACATTCGTTGAGACCAATTTTACAGTGAAGAATCCAGTGGAGCCCAGTATGGCAGCTGCTTTAACAAACAAGTAGAAATAATTCTACCTGTCAACATTTGCTACAGTTAATACAAATGTCCATGGATTTCAACTTAAAGTGTGCTAGATATAAAACTGATGGAATGCTAGCTGGTCCATAAAGGGTTGCACCAAGTTATCTGTGGCAAAATAGAAAACGAGCCCAAAGGTTATAGAGATTGGAAGAGCTGGTAAGGCCTTTTTGAAAATGGCAAGCAGCAAGAGAGTAAGGCACAAGCCCTGGAAACAAAAGAACATATATAAATTAGACACTGGAACTGTAACCCACAAAATATTATAGGCTATGCTTGCCTGGTTTCATGAAAGATCACTTGCTCTAAGTGATCTTCAGTGAATCCCTAGTGAATTTTTCACACACTGTATCCCACCGAGTAATTACTCAAGGGAAAATCCAGTGTGGATAAACTGCCATTGGACACTGCTGGTAGATGGAATTTTTTTTTTTGTATTTTTTTTGTATTTTCTCTGTGTGTGTGTGTCTGCACCTGGAAGTCACATTGACCTCTGGTGACTGACCCCTACTGGGGACCTGGAGGATATTCAGAGAGGTGGGTGAAAGCCTGCCTCTATCCTCCCGACTTGGTATTCCAAGGAAGTCTCCCATCCAAGTACTAACCACAGTCAACCCTGCTTAGCTTCTGAGATCTGATCATATCGGGCTTGCCTGGGCTATCCAGGTTAAAAGGTACATGGATTTTTGTACAGAACTTTCTTTGGCTCTAGTACTGTGTGTGCTAAACAGCAGAGCATGCTCTCAGATGCAAAAAGCAGGGGTCTCAAATCCTGCACAGCCTTGCAAGGCACTTGTTGAAATTTTGAGAAATGGAGCCACTCCAAAATGGCTGTCATGGGGATGGATTCCCCTGTTTCCCAAAATGTTGGGAAATTCCAAGCCAAGTATATTCCTATGGCTGGGGCAGTTGTTTCCAAACAGGTGTTCACTGCAGATGCAAAGGTGATGGGCTTTTCAGAAGCCCCTCCTGCTCCAAGATCAGCTCTTTGGTACGGAGAAGAGATGCTGTATCCAGATGCTGTCAAGTCAAGAAATGTAAGTCTGTGTATATGGACTGCCTTTGATACACTTTTCCAGAGTAAGGTCAGAACTTTGCTTGCCAGTCAGCTGGTACGGAGTAGAGTTGAAATTCCCTGTTGTGCTCTATTCAACAATCTCTGGAATTTATTTCCAGGATTTAGGCAGCAAACAGGTGCCAGCAACCTATCACAAGGTGTCTTGGGGCATGGGCTTACAATGAGGATCACCAAGCTAAAGAAAGGGAAGCAGGGAGCTGGCTATAATACTGTCAGGACTCTGCAATAGGCAGGAAAACCCACCAGACTCACTGTAGGGCAGCCTACCATACGGAGCAAGCCAGGAGAGAGCCTTCTTCTTATGGATTCCAGAGTGGTAGCCATGTTACTTTGATGGTGACAAAATAAAGTCTTGTGGCATTTCAAAGTCTAAACGAATTTACCATGGCATAAGATTTTGTGAGAGCCAGATTCCACTTCATCAGATGAACGAAGAGTTACACTCATATCAAGCCCACCAACAGCAGGAGGATGGTGGGGGGGGGGGACAGCATTCCCTCTAAGCTGAGTTAGTGTGAGCCAGCTCACAGTTTTTAAGCTTCTGGCTCACACATTTTTGTCTTAGCTCAGGAAGGATGGCTCCAGAGCAAACTGATTTATGCAGCAGCCAAATTGCTCACTCACAACTTTAATGCCAGGAGCTCACAAAGTAGAATTTTTGCTCACAAGACTCCGCAGCTTAGAGGGAGCATTGGTGGGGGAATTATTACAAAGTGAGGTCAGAAGGTCCAGTTTCCCAGGACAAGGTATATGATGTTACATTGCAGAGCACAAGTGGAAAAAAAGAGCAAATGATCCACTCAGAGAGTTGTGGACCACTCCTAACAGTTGAATTGACAAATTAGGATGCATCTGAATAGTGTACAACGTCGTACAGAGAAACAATTCTTTATGTAGTAGCCTAATCTTCCCGAGTCCCTATGGAGTCTAAATACTGGTATAAATACTGACTGAATGTAATACTTCATGCATCTGATGAAGTCAGCTCTGACTCACAAAATCCTATGCAGCAAAAATTCGTTACTCTTTAAGATGCCACAAGACTTTGTTATTTTCTTTTTACAACTAACCAACAAGGCCTAACGGGCAGTGAACACAGAAGTCCCTTTCTTACCAAGCAAGTAAAAAACCTCTCCTCTCTCCCTCACCAGTATCAAGACACTTTGCACTGGTACCCTCCTTTGATGTAAACTAATACCCCATCAGTGTTCCCTCTAAGCTGAGTTAGTGTGAACTAGCTCAGTTTTTTAGCCTCTGGCTCACAGATTTTTGGCTTAGTAGGAAGGATGGCTCCAGAGCAAACTGATTGATGCAGCAGCCAAATCGCTCGCTCACAACTTTAAGGCCAGTAGCTTACAATGTAGAATTTTTGCTCACAAGACTCCACAGCTTAGAGGGAGCATTGACCCCCCCCCCCAATATATATTTATATGGCATTGGCACTTGGGCCAATCCAATCAGCATATGGGCTCATTTGGTTGACAAATTTGTCATTTGATACATGACTGACAAGAGAAAATATTATATGTTTCATTATCATCACCCTATCCCCAGCAGGTACTGACCAATTAAAGGAAAATAGGGCAGAATTTTTGTACTCTTAATTACTGTTATTAAATTCTGAGTCCAGTAGCACCTTTAAAACCAACAAAGTTTTATTCTGGGTGTAAACTTTTGTGTACATGCACAACTTCTTCAGATACCCCGTGCATGCACACAAAAGCTTATACCCAGAATAAAACTTTGTTGGTCTTATAGGTGCCACTGGACTCAAACTTTGTTCTGTTATTAAGTTATCATCAAATTAAATAACTCTGTTTTCTGCTGATTCTTAATGACTTGCAGTGTCCTTTCTTTAATTTCCTTTAACCTCCCCCCCCCCCCCCAGCTGGGCCTTGGACATGTGCTTTCAAAATACGAGTTAAGGAACTTTAGGAATAGTATATTCCCAAACACTTTAACCTGAAGCACTGACGTACCAAAGCCAGAAGCAGATACTAGATTGGAGGCATATACCGTGTTTCCCCGAAAATAAGACACTGTCTTATATTTATTTATTCTCAAGAAGACACACTAGGGCTTATACCACAAATGCATAGAAATCCTGCTAGGTCTTATTTTTGGGGTAGGTCTTATTTTCGGGAAAACAGGGTATGTGCCAATATGCATGCCAACAGATCTTCCTTAGGGGAAGAGACAAACAATAAATATCCCACAGAAATGTACAATACCGCATACTTTTCCATGAACTTATTGGCCTAAGGATAAAGTCATGAAACTTGGTATGCATATTCATGAAATGTTGTTGAATCTTAAGAAATGTGATTGAAATTGCATGCAAAGAATGGAACTTTCCCACCATGTAAATGTGGATTGAAAAAACTTCTTCAAACACTATTCTGAAGTGAGGCCTCTAGAATTCCTTGATATGCTCCTAATCACTTTGATAATAAGGAACGGAGTAGAAAATAATCATCATTACCTAACCATACTCACAATTAAAATGGCTACAAAACAAGCTAAAGTTGTGTTCCAGTCTCCACTGGCAGTTGCTGAGGCTTTGCCAACTAGAACACTGTAGAAAATGAAGTCTCCTAAGCCAAGCTTCACTCCCCCTGTAAAGGAAAAAACAGAACCACTAAACAAAGACACAAAGTTATGGCTATCTTTCAACCCTGTCATTAAAAGCACCACATGCAGTTACATGTTTAATTATTATCCTCTGGTTAAGCCCAGAGTAAATGAGACACCTCTAAGTGTCTGGTTTTTTTGGCGAGGCAGGACTTATAAACATTTGACACATTTTTATACTGTGACAGGCTCTTGTATAGCAAACAAGCAAGATTGACTAAACCTGAAAACATACCCTGGTTTATGTTAACAACTAAAAACAAAAAAGTCTTCCACCAACCCGCTGGGTTGCAAGGCCCTCTTCATTGAGACTGAGACTGAAGCATCACCGGCAAAGGTGCCTAAGGTAAGTACTGGCACTGGGCAGGTGTCTGTCACTCAGGCTGTTGTGATTCTGAACTTGGTAGATGAAAGTCTTTGGGGTCTTGAGTTCATGTCAGGGAATCAGAGGATGCTGGAGGAACTGAAGGTGAGACTGGGTGCCCCTCCTCCTGTTCCTCCAAAGTTCAGCGGGCTTTCCAAAGAGAGGGAGGAGGAGAGGAACGTGCAGTCCAAAATGCTGCCATCTCAACCCCTTCTCCCCCCCCCAGGCATCTCCTTCTGCCCCCCCACTGCAACTACCCCACCCAGGATGTGGCACTAGTGGTGCTGGTAGTTGCTAGTCGCTGTGCGTGCCCCTATTTCTCCACAGTCTGGAATCTCTTCCAGAGGATGCAGATTCCCTGTTTCACATAGCGCCTATGATGCAGGGCAAGGATCTGTTGAAGGAAATACCTTAGTCATGTTTTGATGGCTGGGCTCAGGAAGCATCTGAAGCAGCACCACCAGGCAGTGCTTCTACAAGGGGAGAGGCTAGTGCTCCCATCACCTCCCTTTCTGGGTAGAGGTGCACGAGCCAGGCTTCAGCAGACTGAATGGTGAGGGACTACCTATCTGAGCCCTACGAGTGGCAGGCCATCGATCTGCTGAACTAGTGGACCAGGAAAGAGACAGTCTAGCCAGACCTCTCTCGTGACTCAGAAGCTCCTATCATGCCCTCAGAGGAGCACGCAGAATGAGTGCCAGGCAACACTGTCAGCTCGCAATGCTCACATCTGCTCTCCTGGAGGGCTGAGCAATTGGGTCTTTCTGAATATATATATATAATATATATATATATATTGTCAACTTGCTGCTCCCTCAACTACCCAGCCCTGGACTTTGAGAGTGAGTGAAGTGAGGACATGCTTGTGTCTGTATCCTTTCAGTCTGTGTTGGGGCGCTGGGGAAAAACAATCTTCCAAAAACTTAAAACTCAGAAGTGGAAAGAAATAGCAGGGAGGGTTATCCAATCTGACTGACACTATATAAAAATCATGAGTCAAGCAGTATTCTAAAACAAAATAATAAAAAACCTAACGGAATCCTAGTTGCTGTGAGGCACAGCCAGAGGCACAAATCTTGCAGAAAGTAAATAAATATGATGTAAAAATTGTACTCTTGACACTCATAAAGGAACCACCCCACAAATGCTATTGGAAAAAGATATTAGGAAAGTAGATGAGTATTTCAATTAAAACAAGCAGAACCCACAAAAGCACCTAACATGGAACTCATGCACGTTTTTCTTCTTTACAGAGGTGGGAGGGAACAGGCATACCAGCGATGAGCTGCAGCTCCTGTAGCTTCTCTTGCAAGCCAGTAACAGTACAGACTGCAGAGAGAGAACTCAGGTGCCCAAAATCCCCTTCTTTCCACTTTGAGGCCTTCACTGGCTAAGTGACATTCGTGTATCTTATGTGTTTGGTTGGCTGTGTAGGCAATGGCTTGCAAGGTTGGTTTGGCTTGGGTTCTCTGGTTTGATATTGGTCCTGTTCCGCTTGCAACACTGGCCCATAGTTCTGCAGGGATTCTCTGGTCTGACATTGCTTTTTTGGGCTTGCAGTTTTTGTTTACATTTGGAGGCTTTCGGCCAGTGGCTCTTATCTGTTTTTCCCCATACTAAACAATGGAGACAAGTAGGATGGCTGGGGGCACATTGTTCAGGGGCCCATATAATTGGAACCTTTGAGCCAATTTGCTTGAAACTTGGGAGGGTCTTTAGTGAAAAGGCTGGACTAGGTTCCCTACAATTTTGGTGTCATCTGCTTGAAAAACAGCCATTCCAGACCCCCCTCCCCTAAAAAGAGCCCTCCCACAGGGAATGACAGACATGGGGGGGGAAATTGAAATCCCCCCCCAATCCAAATCCCCAAAGAGTACTGGGGACCCAAATAGTCTGGAATACCTACATGGCAACCCTTCCTGAAATCCAAATCTGAAAATTACTGACACCCCCTCCCCCAAGTTCATATCACTAATCCTTAGTCTCTTCCTGCCTTGTGAATGCTGAAGTCTAATAGAATGATGTATGGGCCAATTCAAACATGTGTCTTACTTGATTACAGTTTTTTGGGTAAATGATAGCTTCTGTTTTCCTGCTCACGGAGTGAGTAATTTCCTTGGAGTTTGCAGTTTTTACTTAAAATGATGGTTTGCCAGTGCACAAAACTGCATCAAGTACTCTACACCTCCTAGAAAATTATTATTTTTTTAAAGGCACACTGATCTAATTATGGTGCATCTTCATGATTAAAGTTATGTTTGTGGTTTTACTGTAAACTAGACTCATTTTCATGATAACTATTGGCTTGGTAGATATTTCAGAAGTGTACCAAGCAGTGCCTTATTGTTTCTTCAATCCTCTAAGTTATAGTGATGGGTTTGATCTCTTTCCTAACCAATGTTTTTATGTTTTGTAAGTATTTTAACTCTTTCAAAAAGTTGTCTTAATGATATATGTTTTTATTTTAATGGTTTTATAATGTAAGTTTATCATGCATCTTTTAAATTGTTAGCCGCCTTGGCAGCCCTTGTAAGGGTAGAATGGTGGCATATCTATTTTGTAAATAAATAAACACCCTCATCCCCCAAACCAGTTGTCTCTATTCTCCACAGTTCTCATCCACAAGCACCTCTGCTGCCATATAGGAGACAACAGAAAAGATAATGACACCTGCAGCCCAACACTGCTCTTTGTAAAAGCTCTGTCCTAGTCAAATATCCTGGTGTTTCCCTGTGCTCCTTACCTGCATCCATATCTGTGGTAAGGATAAGTTTACCACATACAAATAAGAACATAAGAACATAAGAGACGCCAATGTTGGATCAGGCCAAAGGCCCATCCAGTCCAACACTCTGTGTCACACAGTGGCCAGAAATACCAGTGCCATCAGGAGGTCCAGCAGTGGGGCCAGGACATTAGAAGCCCTCCCACTGTTGACCCCCCCCAAGCACCAAGAAGACAGAGCATCACTTGCCCCAGAGCCCCTAGCTATACCTTGTGGCTAATAGCCACTGATGGACCACTGCCAGTAACATCATGGAAGAATTATCCCTTATTCTGTGCACTTTTCAGCTGGGCAGTGTGTAAGTCTGTGTATAGCTATGGTGTACGAAGTGGGACTTTTGGTCCCCCTCTCCACAGCAGACCCATTCACCATACCAGAAACTGCTTTGGAAAGTAGCCTTCATTTTAAGAGCAATTAGCTATGTGGGAGGACTGCTGTTCAGGAAATGAAACCAAGTCCCATTTAGCATGCAGAATGAGCTGCACAGTTCTTGCCTACATACCTTATAGAACGTAATTCTATATTCTCTAAATATGCATCACATGCTGTCATGCTACTGTGGTGGGTTTGTGTCCCAAAAGTGTAGTGATATGCACAAACTCCACTCCTGTGTCTGCCTACAAATCCACCGGTAAATTACATTTTGGACACCATGCTGCTACTGATCTGAGATTATCATATATATTAACCATGTAATATTCTAAGTCTTTACAAAAAGCAAAGTACAGAATATTGTGCACTGATGATAGTTCCCAGGTAACTCTAAGGCACTCTTTTCCTGCAAGCCATGAAACCTGTGATTACAATGGTAAAGTTCATGCTGATTAGGAGTTTTCCAGGAGTGTATGTGTCTTCTTGGACTGTGAAGATCCAGTATTACCATGTGGGAATACACAGAGTATATGAACCAGAACCTACAAATACTATTATTTCCTCATAACCCTGATTATGACGTAGCAATGGCCGAAGCATCTATGTTTCACCCTCTGCTATTGAGAAGAACATCTGAAAAATATCCGAAGCAGAATGACAAGATGTTTGGACTCCAGAGCCCCAACACGGTATGAAGGTGGTAAGCCAGCTTCAGGTGGGGAAAAAGACCAGTGGAAGTAGCAAAAAGGTGGGCAAAGCTGGATGGTGGTCTACACCCACAATCAATGGTCCCACAAGAAGGAAAAACATTCCCGCATAAGGCTGCCCACAGAGGAATATTGTTGTGGCTGCTCCACACCAGGGAGGGACTGTAACAGGGAGGGGCAGCACTAACTAGGAACGAGGCCAGTTGAGGACATACAATTCCAACCATCCTGAGCTGAGAACTAGGCTCTCTCTGCCGCTTTGAGCCTGCTTCGGTGGGGAGGGCGGGGTATAAATTGAACAAATAAATAAATAAAATAAATCAATTCAGGGCGCTCAGAAGGAGAACAGGAGGAGATGGCAACTGAGAGTGCTGTCAACCCCATCTCCTCATAGTTCAAGACCATTTACGGGGTGATATTCCGGAGCCAGCAGACATTCTCAGCCCCATGAGAATACTCTCACCCCCTGTAGGCAGCAGCTTCCAAAGGAATCATTTCAGGGGCCATACCTCACATAAGGTATGTATTACATCCCATCTCTCAACTGCCAAGGTTTACAATCCCATTTAAACAATGCCAAGCAAATGAATTTTGTTGGCTCCCCCATATAAAAATGCACCATTCTTCAATTTCTATTAAGAAATTAGAATCTCTCTCTCTTCCTTTTCCTGTGAAAGTCCGCAGACATAGCAACAGCTGCTTCTTTTGCAATGGTCTCCAGCAGGTCAGGCAAGTAGAACAGCCCTGCACACACACTAAATTGCTTGGCAAGTTAATACATGTTTGTCTGGAAATCCTACTTACTCTCCTCTAGATCTTCAGTTGTTGGGGAATTACTGGGGAGAGCCTGAATATGAGCTCGTATTTCAGGGCTTGATTCCTGAGGTCCTATTCTATTATCTCTTTGTTGTTCCCATTCTTGACTGAATCCTCCGTCATCAGCCTCTGCACTTTCACTTTGGGTCTGATTTCCTGTGACTGAAAAATAAATATAAATGGTTCTTAACACTCTGACATAAGATCTATCATGTAATAATTGTGCCAACAATACATGATTTAATGACCAGAAGATGGGTAAAAACAAATAACTCCATTCTAGTACTCCATATGTACCTAAAAATTATCCTAGTATCTTTAAAGATACACTTAAAAATTCATAAAAGTGATCTTGTCCTTCAACAAAATAATATCACATGTGAAAAAGATAAAACTTTAGTGAGAAGCAACACCATGGCTTTCATAACTTAACTCAGCCAACGTATCAAAGGACACAAGTGATCCCAAAGGAATATAAAATATATTATTCCCTCCCAAAACTCCACACAATTGGTTTTCCCCTAACATATATTCTACTACAATAAGGAGACTGATTTTTTAACTTTATCATTTCATTAAAATATAATTAAGAATCAATTAGCCATCCAATTAAAATGAACAGCAGAGAATGAAACACTGCACATTCAAAGCACTTTGAATGCAAGCTAATGATCCCAACTTCGTAAAAAATCTATTTTACTATAGAACAGCTACTTTAGGTTGATGTAGCAGTTAAAGTAACTGTTGGCTGGCACAACAGTTTGCAATTTAGAATGCCATTAATCTCCCTCCTGAGTATGTTATTGCAAAATTTTTGAGCAAGTGAGCATTGTCACCATATGTGGGAAAAGGTCCCCATCTCTCTATTACATTGCCAGTACGATTTGGATTTGCCTGCTGATAGCTTGTCAGGCATAAGGTACCACCTATATGCATCATCTTTATCATAGTTTCTCTAACACCTGTACTGGCTGATACCTTGAAGCATCCTGCCACAGACCTTCAGAAATATGCATCTGTAAATCCGAACTCTTGGAAATATTTTTCCCACCTGTTCTTATAAACTGTATTCCTAGTTCCCAAACTTGCAAGTATCCCATAAACAGCCGCTACCAATTGTCTCTACCAGACACAGGGCCAAGGACATTATACCTAAGGTCTCCAGGTCCATTCATCACGCCAGCAGGGGGATTGGAGGGCCATTCCAGGAGTGGGCGGGGATGTCGCACGACGTGCATACATCACCCAAAAGTGACATAGGGATGCTGGTGACGTGGGAGCAAAGCTCTATAGTAAAACCCTCATAAACCATACTTTTGTCCAAAAACCAGTGTGTCAAACAAACAAACAAACCCCACTTCACTGACACGCCTATGTCACTTCTGGGTGATGTCAGCATGTTGTCCATGACGTTGCTATGGGGGAGGGGATTTCTTTCCACCGGCCAGCTGCCAAATGCAGGCCCTCCCCAACATCTTTCCCCAAATCTCCAGGGATTGCCCAACACAGAGTTCGCAACCATAAGGGGTGAGGAGGGCTGGTTTGGCCCTGAGCTCTGCTGACGAGGGGTATGGTCATGGCCAGTGTTAAAATATCTCTAGTACTTGGCATTACGTTTTATGATACATATGGCCTGGCCTGACAAAGTGACATTTATGTCAGATCTGGCCCTTGTAACAAATGAGTTCAACACCTCTGTTCTACGTGGCTTGATTTGACTTAGAATGCATTCAAATCTGTTTAAGGGGTGATAAATGTTATTCCTTCTTGATCTAAATCGAATTAAACTTCTTATCTGAAGGTACTGAAAAAGAGGCAAAGGGATTTCATCAGCTTCATGTTGAAATTCTTCATAGGATTTGATGGTTTAGTTTTTAAGAAAATCATAACACCCCCTTTTTAAAAACTGACTGTAGGCACATTGTAAATATCCCATGTATACCTTCTTTAAACATTTTTCATGTTTAAAGTTTAAGTGTATTTCTTGTATACATATTATGTCATAACTTTGCTTATATAATATCTATTCACTCTGCGTCTTTTCAAGGGGCTATTACGTCCTTTTATATTACCTAAGAATAACCTGATTTTACTGTATTTATTGTTCTTGATTTGTTTTATTGTTATTTTTATTGACTGGTTCTGTTGAAAGCTGTACAACCACTAGGTGAGGTGGGTATAAATGTTTTAGATAAATATAAATAAATAGCCTGGAAGATGTTCATATAATCCTTGTGAAGTCAGCTGAGAGGGGGAAAAAAGATAAATCCTTACCTTGTTTATCATACGTGGATCTTTTGGGAGCTGTTTTTTGGGCTTCAGGGTCTTCCTCAGCCATGTTCACCAGCCATACCATTGTTGCTGGGGGGGAAGATCAAGGCCTGCTTAACTATTGCATTGTTAAAAGTAACATTCATGCTATTTTTCTGCCACATGCTGTTTTTTACAGAATAGTAGGATTGTAGTATTTTTTGCAAAGTTTATTGTGCTACAACACAGCTGCATTCAGATGTTATGAACAAACGCTACTAAATGCTTATTATTCAGCACGAATGAAGACAGTTGATACTACATTACAGCAGCTGGGGCTTATGTTAGAAGAAATTCTCCAGGTGGGTAAGGCAAAGGCCCTCTCTATTGTCAAGTGTCATCTTACTAAGCTTGATTATGACAGCACAGTAATTCGTGCTCATTGAATTTGTTTAACCCAATTCTTTAGTATTTTACCACCTCGGTTCTTGCTTTCCTACATGAGACATTTAATGGTTCCTTATTATGCTAGCCTTGGGAGGAAAGCGATGGCAAACCAAGACAGCATAATAAAAAGTAGAGACCTCACCCTGCCAACAAAAGTCTGTATGGTCAAAGCAGTGGTATTCCCAGTAGTAATGTCTGGCAGCGAAAGCTGGACCCTAAGGAAGGCCGAGCGACAAAGAATAGATGCTTTCAAATTATGATGCTGGAGGAGACTCTTGAGTGTCCCTTCAACAGCAAGATGATCAAATCAGTCAATCCTAAAAGAAATCAACCCTGACTGTTCCCTGGAAGGCCAGATACTGAAGCTGAAGCTCAAATACTTTGGCCACCAAATGAGAAGGGAGCACTCACTGGAAAAGACCCTGATGCTGGGAAAGACTGAAGGTCAAAGAAGAAGGGGACAGCAAAGGATGAGATGGTTAGGCAGTGTTATCAATGCAACTAACATGAAATTAAGCAAACTCCAGAGGACAGCAGAAGACAGGCGGGCCTGGCGTGATATGGTCCATGGGGTTGCAAAGAGTCGGACTCAACTGTGTGACTGAACAACAACAAACATTATGCTAGGGCATTTGCTCTAGCTTGTCATAACACTAACCCTTCTGAAGTATTGCATGGGAGATTTTGCAATATTCCATATTCAGATTGTCTTTGTCCTTGTGGCCTGGGTAACACTGGCTGCGGTCACACGGAGCATTAGCCACGCTAGAGCGACGGAAGACAGGCGGAGTTTCCGGGCGCGATCTCACCGGCACATCTGGGAAGCGTAGCACTTCCGTGGCTCAACTGAGGCTTCCCACCGAAAACACGCAGCAAAAAACTAGTACCTCGGAGGTACTAGTTTCCGGAAACTGCGGGGCAAGGGCAGGCGTCTGATCGCGTTTCCGGAGGCATCTGGCGCCCGCCCATGTCCCCTTGCGAAAAAGGTTTTTTTCCCCCCACGTCTCCGTGGATGCGCACAAGCACCCAACGGAGCATGCGCAGTCATGGTGTACACACAAAAAAACCCCATCCAGTTTGCCGCACCGCGCGCTTCTTTTTTGCGCGCGGGATTGTCTTGCGATCAGCACCTCTCCCTTCCCACGGTACCTCAACGGGAGGTCTGATCTCTTTACCACGCGTTAGTTTGCCCTGGGGCAAACTGCTATGCTCCCCCCCCCCGCAGTTTCCTGCCCGTGTGACCGGGGCCATTGATACTTTATCTCATAAAATACTGGAATGTTCCAGTTTTTAGGAACTGATGGTTTTTACCTCTTTTACCATGTTTATTATTCAATAATTTTCAAAGGGATGTTATTCCCTATCTGATGGTAGAGAGTGATCTGCTTAAAAACTTATCAGTGGCTAAATTCTTGTCTATCATATTTTCCTTAGAAACTAATTTAGTACTCTTTTAGTCATTGCTCAAGAATTACTGATCAGAGAAGCTCTGAAAAGGAAAGCCAGGAAGTTCATGAAGTGGACATTGAAAACTTCCTGGTCTGAAAGAAAGTGCAGTTTATGGTGCTCCAGTTGCACAAACTATAGTTTATTTCTAGAATACTGATGTGTAGGAAAGAAAAAAGCAACAAATTGTTAAAGTGCCTGAATTCAGGCATGATGACAAATTGCAGTTTCTTTTGAAACAGAAAATCTAGGCTCTGCGTACAAGGGGAAGAGAAGAAGGAGGGTGCACATTAAGCCAGAAGACTTCCTGGCTCATTTTCCTCATAAACAAACCAAGGTGTACTTCCATCTATATAAACAAAATGATGTATCTAATCAAAGAGCTTACAGTGCACTAATCCAAAGTGTATAAAAGTGGGAGAAAATTATTTCCTTTGCTTGTCAGCTGCCAGTCATCATTCAATAAGAGGCTATCCCTACTGAAATTTTGACATTCTAGTTACGAAGCAAAACTGCCTGTTCCACAAAATAGTAATGGAATTACATAACCAGCAGACTTCATAGGAATTAGCAGGTGTGACAATGTGTGAGCGTGCACTGGTGTAGCAGTTAGAAGATCCCATCCTTAAAAGAATTTCAGCAGGTTACACAGGTATCAATAGGTACAGGTTTCCTTAAATCACACACACACAAAAAACCCAACACTTTTCAATCTCCAGTGGTTAAAGCATTTGATAGAAATGTTGTAAAATGGCCAGATATTTTCTGTCTCCAGTCCACTGTACTGGGAAAAGAGGAGGTAAGTAAATTAATGAAGGTAGAATTGGAAACCAACTTCCATCAAGAGGATCTTGCAGAAGACACAGGGTTGGGCCATGACTCCATGGTAGAGCATCTGCTTTCCATGCTTTCTAAGGTTCCAAATTCAATCCCCAGCACCTCCAGTTAAAAGGGTTGAGTAGTAGGTGATATGAAAGATCTACTGCCAGTCAGGGTAGGCAGTACTGACCACTACAAGATACAGGCAGCTGGATTTTTAATTTTTTTTGCCACCTTCCTGTCCTTTCTCTAGTTTTCTGGACTCCAAGGAAAAGAAGTCATAGGATGGTATGCTTTGGAAGGAAGGGGGAGAAATCACTCCACCATCCCACTTGCATATGCTCCTGCTTCCTTTGCAGGAGAGTGTGTATGTGTATGTGTGTGTGTGGGGGGGAGAGATTTATGCCCATACAGCTCCTCAAATCACTTTCCACACATTCCTTGATGGTCCTCTGATTTTTTACAGCAATTTCTGGGGAGGTGCAGGAGCTAGAGAAAGAAGAGATAGGTGGTAAATCCTCTTCCATAAGCTTTACTCTGCTTTTAAAAGAGTTTGGATCCAACCCAAAGAGATGTGCTTTTGTAACTGATCTATCACTTTAATCGAACCAAAACTACTCACCATTTTTCTCCTTACATTTTCACAATATTACATAGCACAGTCTTAAAAGCACAAAACGTTCTTTTTATCTTGGGACATCTTAAACAGAACATAGTTCAAAATTTTGAGCCAACAATAAACAAAGACCTGAGGCCCAAGGAAATGAAAACAATGACCCACAGCTGTTCAACTAGCCTCATGTACTTCAGTAGAAAATCAGCTGGTTTAGTAACATTTTCTTTCAGTTTAAAAACAGGCATCAGATTACAAATCTCTATATACTTACATGAGTAAATGAGTGCTGGGAACAACGTTTCATTTCTTTCCTGAGCTGTTTCAACCAGCATACGAAGAGGTCCTTTAGGACTCAAGACTGCAATCAGATCTGGAAGACAGACATTGTGATGTGGGGTTAAGAGAAAAATTAAAAACCCGAACTTCGACAACATGGTTTCTTATAAACATATATGGCATTCTGAACACTAGACATACCACCCTTGTGATGCTGGGTTTCTGCTATGCAGAGCTAAAATGGCTAAAACATTTTGGTTTGCAGTTTTGGTTGCACATAACAATCAAGCACCACTTAACAGTAATAAACCCACACGGATTAGAAACCGTATGAAACCCATATAGCTTAGAAAGCCTAGCATTCTTCTTTAAAATAATTTTAAAAAAATGGGGGGGGGGGGGCTGCCAGCTTCTAGTCAGGAAAATTCTGTGCGGTGCTGGCTGTCAGGCTGGGATCAGTTGTTGCAATGGGGACACTTCACTGTATCTCCCAACTCACACCACTTCCTCTTTCTCTCCTCCTGGCAAACCTCCATATCCTCAACACTTTCCTCTCTCTTCTTCTCAAACACCAGCAAACCAACCTTTTATCTGCCCTCCATCTTAATTTACTTCATATATACCCTTCCTTTCTCCCCATTGGGGACCCAAAGCAGCTTACATCATTTCTCTCTGCTCCATTTTATCCTAGTCTGAGCTCTAACCACTACACAACACTGACTTTTGTGTGTAGCTGCTGCAGTAGCAAGCAGCCAGCATGTAAGTCAGGTAGCATGAAGTTGCCCACATGATGAATTTTGAACTTCCACAAACTTTTAGAGCAGTTCATGGATGGAGGAGAAAGCCGAGGTTTCTGTTCCTTGTGAAAGTCACAAAAAGAGCTGAGCAGCAGGGAGACAATTCCCACCGCTCAGCTATTTTGCACTGTGTTCTGCAGTCCCTTTAAACAGACTGTCTTCTGCAGTCTGTAGAAGACAGCCCAAAAATGCTGCACAGTGGGGAGCAAGCTGCTCCGTGCCACTCAGCTGTTTTTCAGGCTTTCTGCAAACTCTGTTTAAAGGGGCTGTGATCCTTTTCAATGGGGTTTGCAGGGCCATGAACAGCACAAAGCAGTTCGGTTCGTGAACGAGCCTCCCAGTTCGGTTTGTGGTTCAACCATGAACCAAACTACATTCCCCCTGTTTGTGCCCATCCCTGTTGCTGGTGGTCCTGGCCCTGTTCAGTTCTCCCTTAAAGGCCAAACCAGTCCTTGAAAGGACCTGGCTCCTTCCACTGCCTTTTACTGACAGACACCAAGGCTTGAAGGCCGGCAATACTGTTGTGGCTGCAACTAAGCACATTTGTTTCTTAAAGCCGCAGGTGCTGCCTCTACTATTTTGGAGGTTTTTATCCCCACCAATGTATTTTTTAAAGATTTCATATTTTTCAGCAAACCTGGGGCCTCTTCAGGTTTGTAGAAATATCTGAAATATGAAAGTAAGCAAACTCCAGAAGATGATGGAAGTCAGGAGGGCCTGGCGTGATGTGGTCCATGGGACCACGAAGAGTTGGACTCAACTGTGTGACTGAACAACAACAACAATAATTATCTGTCTTGTTTGTTAATGGTTCCAGTCTCTGGACATATTTGGGCATATTGAGATTGTCAGTGCGGACTACTGCAAATCTGATCCCCTACTACATGTACAGTTTCAACATCTGCAAAGAATGAAAAGGAACTCCAAGAATTTTGTTTAACAAAACCCTTATAAACATAACACGTTGCACAACTGTTACTCTGCAGCAATCACATGTCATACTGAACCCAGGTTCAAAGAAGAAACAAAGCAGTCCTCGAGCCTCAAGAGGGAGGGTGTTGCACAGGCAAGGTGCCACCACAGAAAATACCCTGTCTCTAGTCTTCACCTGCCTTACTTCTGAAGCCAGGGAGCACAGAAAGCAGCTTTGAGAGGCAGATCTTAATGGCAGGCTGCATCGTATGGGAGGAGATGGACCTATAGGTACCCCGGGCTCAAGCTGTTAGGACTTTAAAGGTAAGACCCATCACTGTTTTGTGACCAGAAACAGATGGATAACCAGTGCAGATCTTGCAGTGCAGAGGTGATACAAGCCTTGTAATGCATTTTGAACTAGCTGAAGTTTCTGAACCATTTTCAAAGGCAGCCACATGTAGAGTGCATTACTGTAATCTAACTTGAATGTGATCAGCGCATACATCATCATGGCCAGATTATACTTTTCAAGGACTGCTTATGGACTGCAATAACTCCCAAGAGACCCAAAACAAAGACAGGTTCTGTTTCATTTTTCCCAGTTTTCTTTGAAGGTTGGATATAAGGAATGACATGTACTTCTGGCCAATAGCATCTATTTCAGCACAAAAAAAAACCTTAAAGAAATGAGGGAAATAAAAGCGACAATGTTGTGAAAATAAATCACTCTGTTCTTATCATGGAAAGATCTACAGAAGCATTATTATGATACACAGACTTATAATATGACATCTCAAATTCCAGATCCATGCAAGTAAAACTCTCCTGTTCTTGATTTTAATTTCTTGGGATATGAACAAATGTAATGGAAAAGTAGAATATGAAGCACAATTTTTGGCTCCAAGATCTTACCGTACACTGAAATTACTGCCAAGATGAGCCAGGCAGTCCATTCAGGAAGATATTTGATGAAGACCAGAGCCATTAGAGCACTTATCATAATGAGATAGGCTTGCTGGAGCCGGAGGGGACCTTTCCAGTGAATGCAGATCATTCCTACTACACCAAAGTTCCAGATCGTGAGAGCGAGGGTAATGTAGTCCATGGCAAGATTGTAGGTCTTAAAAACCTCCCTGGGAAACACAAAAAATTACTACTGCATCAGAGGGAAAAGAAACCAAAATGGCACAAATAATCAGACAAGTTAATTTTGCTCTTTTTGTGTGTGCCAGTCTCAAGATTAACTCTTAGTCTTTAAACTAGATTACAATTTACAGGGGAAAAGATCAGTTTTGAAGAAATAAGAAACTACATCTTATGTTTTGATTTACTATTGAAGTTCTGTGTAGCACATTTTTTTGTCACCCTTTTGCCTCTTAATCTCCATAATTGAAAGATAACCAGGATATCAATAAATCTAATTCTCCACATAGCCAAATCTGTGGAGACTTACAGTCAGAGACTTCAGCTATGAACAGAAAACACAGATATTTCTACAAACCTAAAAAATGCCCAGGTTTGCAGAAAAAACTGAAATCTTAAAAATCCAGAACTTCAAAAACAAAGAATCTTAAAAAGAATACCCTCTCAATAATAGAAGCAGCACCTGCAGCTTTAAGAAACTAATGCTCTCATTGGCCATTGTTAAACAACCACACAGCCTTCAAGTCTTGCTTTCTGTCAGTCAAAGGTAGGGCCCTTTCTAGGATTGTTTTGGCCTTTGAGGGAGGGCTTATTGAGGCTGAACTGGTAGCAGCCACTGGGCAACTTGATATGCCACTTGCATGACTCACCCAGGCCTTGCTACTTGCTACTTTCAACAGCAGCCATGAAAGCCAGTGTGGTGTAGTGGTTAGATTCAGACTAGGATCTGGGAGACACAGGTTTGAATTGCCATTTTGCTGTGGAAGCTCACTGGATGATCTTTGGCCAGTCACTCTCTTTTAGCCTACCTTACCTCACAGGAGCAGAGGAAAATGATGTAAGTTGCTTTAGGTCCCCACTGTGGAGACAAGTGTAGTGAAGAAGGTACAGGAGGAAATGAGGTGGCCCCCACAAATCTTTGGAGGTTCATCTCTGTGCAACTGGGCCTGGCCTAGCAGGCTGCACCATGCAACTGAGCCATACTTCTCTAAGTTAAAAGCTACAGGGGGAGGGAAGGAGGGAAAGCTGAAGACAGGGGAGCAGATGAAGATAGGATGACCGGAGGGAGAGAGGGAGGGAAAGAAGGAGAGAAGAAAGCAAGAACAGGCTATGGTGGCTGCCAGGGAAGTAAAAGAGGACATGGGGGGGGGGGGAGATGAACCTTTGCAGGTCTCCTGCTTATAAATACATAATGGTAAGACAAGTCCAAAAATGCCAGTATCAGTTCTTCCCCATAACGAAACACCATTTATATAAACAACTTCTTAAGAACATTAGAGAAGCCATGTTGGATCAGGCCAACGGCCCATCCAGTCCAATGCTCTGTGTCACACAGTGGCCAAAAAACAGGTGCCATCAGGAGGTCCACCAGCGGGGTCAGACCTCTAGAAGCCCTCCCACTTTTGCCTCCCAAGCACCAAGAATACAAAGCATCCCTGTTCCAGTCATAGTATTCCATCTATACCTTGTGGCTAATAGTCACTGATGGATCTCTGCTTCATATGTTTAACTAATCTCTTGAAGTTATGCTTGTAGCCACCACCACTTCCTGTGGTAGTGAATTCCATGTGTTAATTACTGTTTGGGTGAAGAAGTACTTCCTTATAACCATTCTAAGCCTACTATTCATTAATTTCATTGAGTGCCCATGAGTTCTTGTATTGTGAGAAAGAGAGAAAAATACTTTTCTTTACCTTATCTCATGTATAATTTTGTAAACCTCTATCATGTCACCCCTCAGTCGTCATTTCTCAAAGTAAAGAGCCCTAACCTCTTTAACTTTTCTTCACAGGGAAGATGTTCCATCCACTTAATCAATTTAGTTTCCCTTTTCTGCACTTTTTCCAATGCTATATCTTTTTTGAAGTATGGTGACCAGAACTGTACACAGTAATCCAAATGATGCCGCATTATCAGATTTATACAGGGGCATTATGCTACTGACTGATTTGTTTTCAATCCCCCTTCCTAATAATCCCAATATTTCATTGGCCTTTTTATTGCCATCTCACACTGAGTCAACATTTTCAGTGAGTTATCTACCATGACTCCAAGATCTCCCTCCTGGTCAGTCTCCACCAGCTTGGACCCCATCAACATATATTTATAGTTAGGATTTTTGGCTCTAATGTGCATTAGTTTGTACTTGTCCACGCTGAACCTCATTTGCCACACTGATCACACTGATGCCCACTCGCCCAGTCTCGACAGATCCCTCTGGAGTGCCTCACAATTCTCCCTGGTTCTCATAATCTTGAACAACTTAGTGTCATCAACAAATTTAGGCACTTCACTGCTTACTCCTAACTCCAAGTCATTAAAATGAGCAAGTTAAAAAGCACCAGACCTAGTATCGAGCCCTGTGGTACCCCATTGCTTACCACTTTCCACTGTGAAAACTGCCCATTTATACGCACTCTGTTTCCTGTTAATTAACCAGTTTTTAATCTTGCCTTTGAAGAACTTCTGATTACTTAAGAACAATTTGATGCGATGTAACTGCTTCAGTCACAAAATACATACAAAATTAGATATTGGTGTGAAACCCACAGAGTCAACTAGAATAAATAAAGTACTAATGAAAAAGTAGAATATTTTTTAAACGGAGCATCAACATAGAGGGCTTGGTAGCATCCTACAAATCTTTAAAGGGTTTCTTTTAAAACACTTTTTGTAGAAGGGGAGGCCATTTAAATGATTCAACATGCAATAGTGATAGAACTAAGCACTGACTTCAATGGACAAAGAAGGATAAAGCTCTGCTTAGGACAGCATTACAAGTTTTCACTTTGAAGAGCCAGTTTGGTGTAGTGGTTAAGTGTGCGGACTCTAATCTGGGAGAACCGGGTTTGATTCCCCACTCCTCCACTTGCACCTGCTGGATGACCCTGGGAAAGCCACAGTTCTGACACAGCTGTCCTTGAAAAAGAACAGTTTCTGTCAGAGCTCTCTCAGCCCTACCTACCTCACAGGGTGTCTGTTGTGGGGAGGGGAAGGGAAAGGAGTTTGTAAGCCGCTCTGAGACTCCTTTGGGTAGTAAAGGGCGGGGTATAAATCCAATCTCTTCTCCTCCTCTTCTTCTTCTTTGTGGACAGCAACTGCCCAAACCAATCTGCAGTTCTATACCTCTTCTCTCTTCTAATTGTTGAGGCATAAGTAAAGGCTTCTGTTGCAACATCCCAGGTAAGGCAAGCAAACCGTAACCTTCACTTCCCCTAAAAGAGGGGGAAATTCTACTTCCTTATGGCTTTTAAGTAGGGCAAAGAATCTTGGGCCAAGGAATTAGGTTGATTTGCAAAGGGCTTATGTACCTCACCTTCTCTTTGGCCATAAAAACCTCACCCACGCTTTGGAAGTGCTTCTTCTGTATGCCAAAACCTGCTATGGCTTCAGCACAGGGGCCAAAGCCTGCTACTGTTGTTAGAGCAACAGGGCAATATGTTTTTGTGCTGGACTCTTGACTGTACAGCATTGAAAAGCATCACACTCTTAGTCTTGCTTTCCCCCCAGAAACTGGAGCTCAAGCCATACTTATAAAACGGCTTCATTTCTCTGAAACTCAGTGCCCACTAAACCCATGCTGCTCTTTTTTAAAGCAATGCAAGACCTTAAACAAAACAACATGCTACTGGGTAGCTCTCTCTCACTCTCATAGCTATTTATTATATGCTCACAAACATGCAAACAGCCTTTACTAAATAGCACACAAACCTTGGCAATGTCTGTAACAATTCTTATTTAATTCATTTATACCCCACTTTTCTCCTCAATGGGGACCCAAAATGGTTTACATCATTCTCCTTATAATGATTCCTTGTTTTGATGTGTGTTCCTTTAAATGTTAGTTTGACTGCAGTAATGGAAGGAAGGCGATAGGGGGAGATGAGTGTGCTGTGACTGGCTGATGACTGAGTGTGGGAGCAGATGTTCTGAGAGGAATCTATGTGTGTGCGTTTTAAGAGTGTTCTGTGTATGTGTCTTTGGAGAGTGAAGGGTGGAAAAGCTTTAAAGAGAGTCTGTGGAACTCTGAAAGTTTTGTGAGAGAGTCTATATGGAAAAGAAACAAGCTGCATCTAAACTGTGTGATTAGACCAATGTTTTATCTTGTGTGAAAAAGTCAAAGAGTTTAGCCGGGTTGGCTACATATTTGAGAAAAAGAAGCCTGTCAGAGTGGAATTTTAGTGTCTAAGAGACTGTGTGTGACACCAAGCTGGCTAGTTATATTTTACAAGTTCCTTTTTCCAGAAACCTATTTTGTTCTTATTTCAATAAATCCATTTTTGTTTAAATATATCCCAGAAATCAGTGTAGTACTTCCTCAGGGCCACATAGTCCTCTGAAGTGCCCAGACCCTGGGTCACTCTACCAAAGGGGGATTTGGAATTTTTAATTCCTGGTGGCAGCAGAAACTACCAAGTTTATATACACAAAGTGTGAATTAAAGGTAAAACCATTTCTCCTATAAGGAAGCACATCACAGAGTATGATTTAAAGAAAAACACAGTCCCCCCCAATAGGAAGGACACCACCTCCATTTTTATCCCTGCAAGCACCCTGTGAGTTAGGTTAGGCTGAGAGTGTGTGTCTGGCCCAAGGTCACCCAGTGAGCTTCCATGAGTGGGGATTTGAACCTGGGTCTCCCAGATACTCGTCAGGCACTCTTAATCACTACACCACACCATTCTCCAACAATCTCTCAGACTTGATCCTTGCTAAGAAGTACAATTTTCTGCAGATAAGACTCTGGGAACTGGTTATCCATAAGTTGCAATGAAAAGAATGGAAACCCAAACCTTTACAATGGGATTGCAGTTAATAGCCAACAGGATAGGATGGATTTGTGAGGCAACATGAGGGGAAGAAACGTCTATAACAAACATCCAAGAAGTGGAAACAAAACTCTTTATTCTTGACGCATTTTGAGCTTTGTTCTTTTTAAAGGGGTGTAGATGTTACAATCCAATGAAGACATATCAATTACTGACTGAGACAGCCCTAAAATATTTTGGGGTGATAAACTTACCCTAAGTAAATGAATGAAAAAAAGAAAAGCAGAAAAAGCGAAGAAACGATGAGCCATCCATGGATCACCTGAAACACAAAAACAATGGCAAAGATTTCAGATCTGGGATTAAAACATTATCACATTTCAAAAGTGACTATTTGAAAACAAATGGATGTCACATGAAAAATATATAGGTATATAAAAACCTATAGTTATGTTTAACTTACAGCAACACATGCACTGGGCCTTTCCTGGTCCCCCCCCCGCCAATGCTATTCCAGCAGGAAGCACTTGAGTAAAAGAGGTAGACTTCCCTCAGTATACGCATAGAAAGAAAGCATATTATAGTTCAAATATGTCAGGACTTATTTACATCCACAGGTAGTACTATTACAGGCTGTATTTATGATTTTCTATAGTTTATTGTGTATACAGCTCCTCATAAGCAGGAATTCCAGAATATTAATTGCATCTAAAATGATCAGAATGGTAAAAATCAAAGCGGCTTGAACTCCCAAAAGATCTTTCCAAACTGGATGAGTGGACAATAATATGACAAATGAAGTTCAATGTAGGTAAGTGCTAGGTGATACAATTGTGACACAAAGTTTCATAAATATTTACTCATTGTTCTAGAAAACATGCAGGATTCAAACAACCATGACATCCTCCTTCTCCCTTCTGCTGTTGCCCATTGTGCTCCCTCAAAAGCTATTCCTAAAGGTAGGGGAACACTCACAAGCATGTGGATTCAGTGGGATTCCTCCCCTTCTACAACTGGAAATTGCTTTCCACTCACACAACGGGATTCTTGATTCTTATGGTGACATTTATATTCCTCCTGAGCTGCATATTCCCTTCAATCATTAAAGTGTGATTTAATTAGATGACATTACAATTTAATTTATATGAATTGCTCCAAACATGGAACACTGAAAAGTACTGGATCAGGGGTGTCTAACTCATTTGTTATGGAGGGCCGGGTTTGATATAAATTGGACTTTGTCGGGACAGGCCATGTGTGTCATAAAATATAATGCCAGGTAGCTGAGATATAAACTTTATAAAGGACACAAAGATATTTTTTAACTTAAAATAAAAACATGCTTGAAACATTAGCATTCTTGAAATATTTTGTTTATTTAACAGCCTCTGATAACTGACACTTCTTGCTCTGAATTATTGCATCAAAATGTCTGTGCTGTAGCAATCTGGGAGGGGAAGAAGCCTCAGCCCAGTGCAGGGAGCAGATGCTTGCCTATCTATCTCTCCTGAGCGATTGAGAGAGTCTGGGAAAGCAAGCTATGACGCAGCAGCAGAGGAAGAAGCAGGAGGCAGCCAGTCCCTTGTGGGCCTGATAGAAGCCCTCTGGGGGCCTGAACTGGCCCCCGGGCCACATGTTTGATACCCCGGTACTGGATAATAAGATGTGCAGATAAAAAGCAATGCCATTTTGTAGGAAATCACTGTCTTCAAGTGGCCATTTTACATTTGAGAATTCCTCACAATGACAAAGAAACACAAGGTCACTGCTCAAAACACCCCATACAAGATATCCTTTAGTGCGGGGGTGTTAAACATGTGGCCCAGGGGCCAGATGAGGCCCCTGGAGGGCTTCTATCAGGCCCACAGTGGAACTGGCTATCTTCTGCTTTTTCTTCCAATTCTACTGCTGCTGCGTCATTGTAAGTTTGCAACTTACAGATACACACCTGAACAGCATACTCAAGATTGCAACAGCACAGACATTTTGATGTAATAATTCAGAGCAAGAGGTGTCAGTTATCAGACACTGTTAAATAAACAAAATATTGCAAGAGTGCTAATGTTTTAAGCATGTTTTTATTTTAAGTAAAAAAAAAAACCTTTGTGTTTGTGTCCTTTATAGTTTATATCTCTGCTACCTAGCATTACATTTTATGACACACATGGCCCAGCCCAACAAGGTTTCATTTATGTCAGATCCAGCCCTCATAACAAATGAGTTCGACACCCTTGCTTTAGTGTGTCTATCTAGAAGACAAAGCACCATCCTCAGAAGAAACCAAACATCAGATAATCAATATGTAATGAAAGAAAGCACATGGCTTTGGGCCTTCAGAGCAAAATATTCACAGTACAAATACATAATAAAAATGTAAATTCTAGTTCATTAGAAAATAACATGAACTCTTTTTGTATGCACTCAAACTATAAGATAAAAAACTGGAGACGTGGTCATTTATTATGCCTACTTTGGCTCTGTTTTCTCTCCTGTTACTGAAAACGAAACTACAGCAGGCTTTGATGGGCCATTTTACATAAGAAAGCATTCAGCTAAAAAAACACAACCACACCCTTATCAAGCAGGTTTATTTATGTACCCTGCAACACTTTACACACTAAATTATTATCCATTACCTGCCTTTTGTTAGATCTACATTTCACAATATGCTTCACATAAAAGACTGAAATTAGTCAACATTCTTTATAATGTACTTCACAACAGCACGTCAAGGCAAGTCTCAAGAGTTTTGATTAAAACACTCATGTCTCACTTGACAACTGCACTAGTATAATTGATTTGTTGCTACAGACTTCAGTTCTGCCTGATAAAACTTGAATAAAACTCTACTGCCAAGATTTGCAAAACATAGAGTAATCGGGTATTTTAGTTCCAGCAGGAAAACAGACCTTGGTTACACAGAGTGACAAAAGACAGGGAGGAAAAAACCCTCCCATATTTATCAAAAGGCAGAAACTGAAAGGTTGTAACTAGGGAGGGCATGAACCTTGTCACGAACCTAATTTCGTAACGAACATCACTGGCTCATTGTTCGCAAACTGGAGGTTCATGCCCATCCCTATTCATGACCCGCCCACAACCATCCAAGTGGCTTCAGAGATTTGTGGGGTTCATGGTGGGAAGTGAGGGAGCCAGAGGAATAGCTGAAATGGCTTGCATTCATTTCAGCTATCCTTTTCACTCCGCCCCCCACTTCCAAGCGTTCCTTTTAAATGGCTTTTGCAAGCTGTCCATGATTGAAGTCCAAGCGGCGAGTTCACCCGGAAGTGGTGAACTCGCCACTTGGACTTCACTCGTGTGCAGTTTGCAAAATCTGTTTAAAGGGAATGTTCAAAACTGGCTGTGGCTGTCCAAACCCACAATGCTCTTAGAAGGCATCACAGACCAGGTATCAACTGAAAGGCTGTGCACGTATCTGAGTACATGGTCCCTACAAAGCAAAAGGTGAACTGGTAGTGTCCCTTGTCCACCAAAAGCAGCATTTGGGGGGAAATTTGGGGCTGCAATGGGAAGGAAGTATCACTCTACTGACAATAGTACCTTACATCAACAGAAGGTTAACTGCAGCATCCAAGGATATGTTTTACATCTGTATCACACATTTCTTCCAGGCAGCACAGAAAGGCATGCACCGATTCCTATATTATCTACCAATCCAGATTCTGGCTGTGTCCATTATATCTAGACTTTGAGCAACTGTCACACATTAAAAAAGCCACATCCCTATCCTGCCATCCCCAACCTGAGAACGGTCTCTTGCTATCAGTATTGAATATGCAATAATATCATCTTATATTCTAAACAGTGAAGCATGGGCCTATCTGCAGATACTTAAATCCATGGATCAGGCCCAAATGGACTAAAAACTGATACTTCTGCAAACTTAGGGAACCCCCCCCCCAAGGTTTGGACAAAAATGGAGAATTTAACACCCCCCCCCCAAACAAAAGCATCGTCTGACACTCTCCACAAGTGCAGATACTCTCCATCACCCACCCTACCACCCAGGTGGTGAACTGCAGGCAGTTGGGGTGGGGTCATCCTCTGACCATGGTGAAGCTGCAAGAAGGCACAGAAGCCACACCCCTGTCACAGCAGCACCACTGAGAAGTCCCCAATGTTGTCCCCACCACTGAGGTGGCAAAACTGCAAGCAGGGAGGGGAGTAGTCTCCACTGCTGCTGAGGCAGAGAAGAAATCCTTGCCACTGCCACCGAGGTGGGTGGGGGAGACATCCCTGCCACCACTGAGGTGGAGAAGCCATCTCCAATGTATCCATCACCACTGATGCAGAGAAAAAGCAGGCCAGCAGGTGAGGAGTTGCTGCCTTCACTGAGGTGGTGAAGAGGCCGGGTGAGTGGCTGAGGCAGCAAAATTGCCAGGTGGAGGAGGGTGAGCTGCCAACATGGTGAAGCTGCGCGGGGGGCGGGGGCGGGAAGCTAGCTGAGAACACTGAGGTAGCAAAGCTGCTGTGCAAGCCACCACTGCTGCTGCTGAAGAGAGGGAAAATGATGGGATGTGGGCAGGCCGGGAGAGGGAGAGACAGAGATAGGATGAGGGAGACAGAAATTGAAGTGTCAGTAGACATGGCAGGGGGAGAGGAATCAAAGGTGGTAGAAAGGTATGGCTGCTCCTGCAAGTTCCTTGTTTTTACTATTAAAGACTAGCCATTTGAAATGGTTGTAACTTGCAATGTTGACAAACTGAAGAAACACCATGAACTTTCACAAATTGTGATGCAGTTCATGGAGGTCCGTGAAGAAAAAGAAAACAGGGATTCACAAAAAAACAGCTTAGGGGAAGCTCCTTGACACTCAGCCATTTTGTTTAACCCCTGCTTTCTGCCAGGGACTACCAGTAGGTGCTGTTCAGCAGAGCACAAGGCTCTCCAGGGCTTATATAGGGACAGACGGTGTTGAAGGTATGCTGGTCCAAGGCTGCGTAGCAAATATGTTATCAGAAGCATGAGGAAAGACATGCATGAAGATCTCAGCTTTTTCTTTGATGCACAATAATGTCATGGTTCAGTGAACCCCTCCTCACCTTATAGCACCTGTATTTATAAAGCACAACAAGGAGAATGGTCATGACAATTATGACACTGATCATGATAGCAGCATTCAGAATAGAATTCAGAGCTCTCTGTCCAACTGTTTCCGTTTCTTCTGTGAATGGAGTGTAGATGCTGAAACACAATACAGAAAAAAGACAAGTAAAATATGCCATACAAATGTGCTCTTAAATTCTGAGTTTTCAAATTAAATACCTTAAAGAAATATTCAACATTTTAAAAAATATACTTACACTGCAATACGAAGCAGAGTCATGCACTTCTAAGTCCACAAAAGCTAATGCACTTAGAAGAGTGTAACTCTGCTTAGTACTGCACTGTAAAAAGTCACGCTCCTTCTCAATAGTGCCTTTATGTACACACCATCTAGTGGATATGAAATGAATTAAAAAACAAGTGACTTCATTCAACATTGCAAACAAAGCAGCAAAAACAGGAAGACTGGATAAACTAGCTAACAGGATTACATTTCTTATACGTTCAAGATTCTAAAGGACTACTACAGCCTTAAGGGGGGATGCATGTGCACACACACCTCAGTTAAGAAACAAGGATCAACTAGACAGCATTAGAATACTGATAAATTATTAGGGGAACTGAGGTTTCAGACTATAAAGACAGAAAAGGTTATTCCCTGGATTTGTGTATGTATATATGCTAGGATAGGAACACATATTTTAATTAAAGAAATAAAATCAGTTCTGAGGTAACAAAACTGAGCCTTAAGGTTTATTTGGAGCATAAGACTCAAAACACAACTTTATTTACAAAATAAGAGCTGGTTATCCACAGGAAAACCATCATTGTTAATCTACATATCAAAAAGAAATATGCTGAATGTCCTTTGAATTGCCCTTTGTTTCATGGAACTTCATTAACAATCTAGCAAGACCTGACAGTGCGTGATACTGAACAGGTATTAAAAGGGGATGCGATTACAGTAGTTTTAAAATGTGCTGAAGAGCATGCTGAACCCGTACTCCACCTTCTACCAGTTGCTACTGTTCCAGCAAGGTTTACTTCTAACTTCAGTCAGAAGAACAGCAATTTGGAGGAGATGGGAGGAATGTTAGGTGTCACTTTGCCACATGAAACGGCACCCTTATTCATACCCCTGTGGAAGCCACCCATGATCTAGCACACGAGTCTCCTGCTGTCACATCTAGTTAAAACTTGAAAGATTGGTGTAATAGCAGAAAATGAAGAAGAGAACTGCAGGGTTTCAGGGCAAAAAAAAAAAAAGCAAGGAAAAAGTTGATACATACAGCTGTCCATCCTTGCGTGTATAAAAGCTGACAGACTTGATGGTTGCAACAACTACCACCATACAAAGTGTGACAGGCACAAAGAGCATAATCACATGCTTTGCCCCGTATTTCAGTGTCAGCTCTTCCTCCTCGTCATCTTGCTCCACCACTGGCCGAGTGCTGTTTTGTGGCTGCCCATTTGACTCTGAATCAGGACGATCCCTGTTCTCATGGCGCCGTCTTTCAGTGTTGTCATTCTAGAAATATTTTTGTAAAAAATAAATCCTATTTTCTTAAGTATCTACAGACCATACATGTACTCTGTGCTCTAAATTACAAAGGTGGGGTCTCACTGACTGATCTGTGCAAGCCCAATCAATGCTTGGATGGGAAACCATGGGGAACCACGAGTAGGAACAGAACACAGGGATAAAAATGAATTACAAACAGAAACAAGAGTGAAAGGAAGGAAAGATCCAGTAGCAAGAATCTAAGATAAAGAACACTTCGGGCTGCAGCAATAAAAAGAGGACATGATCACACTACAGAGAAAAAAGGAAGCAACATAAAAGATAACTGATTAATAGAAATAGAGTAGGCTACTAGGTCAGTACTGGGGGTCACAATGATAACTGTGCCAGGTTGCCCGTATTTGGGTAATTTGTCCCTGCTGATATTAGTGCTCTGAAAATGGTAAATGTCAAATTAAAGTTGATGTACCTGAATCACTTTGTTTACAATATTCCTAAGTCTACAATACTCTTGATTCTGCTATCTACAAAGGTACAAAAATTATTAAACCAATCCTTGACAGGACTTTAAATTAGTGACTGCTAAATACATGATTTATCTACCTCTTCATCACTTTCTCCATCCCATTTAAATCTGAGTCTCTGTGATGATAAAAATTAGAAACACTTATTTGAACAGGCAAAAAGATTTTTCTAAGTTTTAAACACATTTTCTAAATAAATGAATATATAAAATGAGAAAAACAAGGGATGAGATTAGAAGTTTTTTTAATCTCACTTGCAAATAAACCAGTATTAGTTGGTGAGTAGGCAAGTCACAGTACCTCATCACTCCACAAAATCCTTACTTTTATGATAAGCTTCACAGCATGCAGATCATACTTAGAATTGGCATATTATTGCTACATGTTCTCCCATTTTGCTTTTCAGACCAAAAGTTGTACTGTTGAACATTTGTGTCTGAAGTAGCATCCCATTCCCAGCCCCTAAAATGCGAGAATGTTCACATTATCATCCCAGTTTGCAGTGCCATTTTCTTTCTTATCACTACATCATTGTCTTTCAACCCATTCAGCAACTCTCAGTAAACAAGATGACATCACAAGCCACTGCTGACTATAAACGGATGTAAAAAAGGACAAATAAAATTAATTCAGAAAACGCTGCCCTTATTCTGAACAGATGAACATATCTGGTTCACTCTGATGTAAGAATAAAGACTGCCCAAAGATGATGGGTGAGGGATGCTACAGAAAATGTAATGGAGAAGTCCCTGCCCCCCTTTTTGTGTCAGCCCTGTACAAAAATACTGCAATGCTCCTTCTTGCATGCTGAAAAACACATTGTGGAGTTGAAGTGGAACAGGGGGAAAGGAGGTCACAAGGGCTAGATTAGATACCAAAACCTGCTTGTTTTTGGATTTTCACAAAATTGTCTGCGGCACTAATTTAAAATTTATTTACATTTTACAATTAGATTTTTCAGGATCTTGCTTTGATACATTTTTATTAGATATGTTGTCAGTGTAGCAGACAATTTCATGAAAATCCTAGAACAAGTGGGTTTTGGTCTCTGGTTCAAACCCTCATGACTGGTAACAAAGCAAGTTAAGATTTAGCTTGTAGTTCTCTCTTTTTTGCCTCCAATACCCGCTCCTACTCTTACGTCTGACAAGGGTGACTGTCCATTGCTGGAGGTCACTTCTCTTTCAATTAAAAATGACATGTACACTGACGATGAACTGGCAGTCATAGGTAAAAAGGACAGTAGCCATATCTATAGAAAAGGAGCAGCTAGAAGGGCAATAGCATATAAGTTTCTAAAAGGTGACAGAAATGGTCTAGAAATACGAAGCTAAATCTTCTATACCATCCTAGTGTTTCTGAACTTAACTACATATACTGTTTAGCCAAACTAATTTGTCATAAGGAACAATACCAATTAAAATGGTTTAACTAAAAAGCAGCAGAATCTATAGGACAGGGAATAAAAAGATAATACGATTTATGAGACAGCTGTACCTACGATACTAAACTGCCCATCCTGATGAAAAATTAGAAATATGGGTATCAGTTCTCTGCATTAAACTTATATCTAAAGAGACCATGAGAACATCTATTGATGGATTTTTGGACATTTATTTGAGCCTTAAGAAGACTCTTGTAAGTATATTGATACTTCATTCCAAAAGGACACTGTGTCCTACACTGAGAAGAATTTCCAACAAAATCATTTTATGTCACCATTCTTAAGTGTGGTACATATGCTGGTAGCAAACTAAACACAGACCAAACAAGAAAAATAGCCTTAGAAGAAATGGCCCCTAAATAAAAATTCAGCCCAAGAAACTGCACTCAGGACTACAGTTTACAAGAATTAGAGGAGGAGCAAGGAAACAACGATACCATCTGGAATAGCATTCTGTCTGTTACATCTGAGTAAAGGTGCATTTTGCATGACACAAGAAACTGTGTCACTTCAAACCCACCTTGTTCCAACAATTAGAAAAACAACAAATTCCTACCTGATTAGCATTACACATACAAGTGAGAGATGCTGGAAGCAAAGGTACAGATTCCTCACTTCCATCAGCCATGATGGATCTAAAGTGTTTCAATCAAACCCTTGTACTACTGGTTTATGGGTAAATATGAACTATGTATACTCAAGATGGATGAGTAATACTAAAGATAAACAGGAACCCTGGCAACTATCAAAGAAAACAGTTAATATGAAACCCAAGGCAATAGAATTGAAGGTGTGGAACAGAACTGTGTCTGGATGGAAACGTCTCCTGCTCTTTGCCAGTCTCTTAACACCCAACAGGAAATGAAGGAGGAAGTGCCAGGCAACACTATGTTGTGCAGAGCTCTGCAGATTTCCCCATCATTGGCTTCTGCACCAATGCTAACCCTTCAATTCCTTGGCACTTCTGAGAGGATCAGATTAGTTGGCTTGAGTTCTGCAGGGTTGTTAGAAAGGGGTTTTATGCGCGTGCATAATAGCAAATGGTATCCATTTGCCAAGAAATATTTAATTTATCCTCCTGTCTCCATTAGGTATCAGCTTAGCTGTCACATGCACTGCCTAGCTACCCTCCCCACACACAGCCTCAAGATAAGCATTTTAATTTTTTTTAATCAGCAAATTCAGTTTTTGTAACAAAAGCAGGGCTTAGACTATGTCTTGTTTCAATATGTGTACAATAGTGAGACAAAGGGATTTAGAAGTTCTCTGTATGTCAGAGTCTGGGTTTCCTTCTCATTCAACACTAAGCACTTGATATTATTTTTAACATACCTATTTTGACTGGATATAATACAGCACTGTTAAGCACTGTGGTGGAAAGTGCCGTCAAGTCGCAGTTGACTTACGGTGACCCTGTGGGGTTTTCATGGCAAGAGATGTTCACAGGTGGTTTGCTATTGTTTGCCTCCACGTAACAACCCTGGTATTCCTTGGAGGTCTCCCATCCAAATACTTGCCAGGGCCAACCTAGTTTCCAAGATCTGATGAAATCAGGCTAGTCTGGGCAATCTGGGTCAGGGTTACTGACTGTTACTGGAAATAACAAGACATTTTGTGCATTATTTATTTATTTAGGCATTTTTACCCCGCCCTCCCCGCAAGCGGGCTCAGGGCGGCTTACAAGGGGCATAAGCTCATCCATAAAACCAGATAAAACAGTAAAATCGTAAATAACAACAATAACAACAATAATAACAATAATAACAATAATAACAATAATAAAGTGCTTCCTATAAACGAGATGGTCTTAAGTGGTTCTTGAGTGGTTCTGATGGCATCTTCGATCCTCCCCGTTAGGGTATCACTGTCCAATAGATGGTTCAAGCCAATACCAAATTGCCACACAGTTTATGGCTGACCCACAAGTTTTACTGGCAAAGCAAGAAGAAAAAGAGATTGGATTTATCCCCCGCCCTTCACTACCTGAAGGAGTCTCAGAGCGGTTTACAATCTCCTTTCCCTTCCCCGCCCCACAACAGACACCCTGTGAGGTAGGTGGGGATGAGAGAGCTCTTTCCAGAACTGTGACTGGCCCAAGGTCACACCAGCAGCTGAATGTGGAGGAGTGGGGAATCAAACCTAGTTTTCCCAGATTAGAGTCCATGCTCCTAACCACTACACCAAACTGGCTCTCAAAAGAACAAAGCTGCCCATGAACCCACAGATTTAACCAGAAAGGTTCCTTTGGGACCAGCTTATATATGCAAGATCCAACAGTCCTCGTCCCCCCCCCCCAAATATAAGACTGAGCATTCACCTGCCTTTTATTACAACAAAATGCAATAATAATAACAAAGCTTTTAGTTTTCACAATGATTTATCAGGCCACTAGCTTTAGCACTGCTAAGTATTCAGAAATCTCACTATTATGGGAAACGCTGAGCATATTTTGCCATGGTTGCAAGGCATACTAAAGAACACCTCCTTGATCAAAGATCACTGGGGTCTTCATACTTGGTTGTTAGATACTTCTTCCAAAAAGCAAAACACCTTGGAATCCACATACGTCATGTGACAGGATAATTATGTGTACAAGACTACTCCTCACAGCTATGCATCATCCCTAACGTTGCCTATTTTATCAGGTCCAGGTGAAAAGAAAATTTCAAGTCGTTCTGTCCCAATTGTGATAAAACATTCTGATCTGGGGCTTCCAAATGAAGTTGTGTTCGTTAAATGACCAGAGAAGTGGATGCCTGTGGGGATGCCTCTCTTGGATCCTGTGATACAGTACCTACATCATTCTTGTTGTCACAAATTTAAGAGGAAAATTATTTTCACAAATAAGCCAATGTGGTGAACTGATGAGAATGGCAGACTAGGGTCTGGGAGTCCTGGGTTCATAACATCTCATTTGCCATGAAGCTAACTGGGTGATCTACACCGAGTCACTTTCAGTCTGTCCTGGTTCACAGAGTAGATATTAGGATAAAATGAGGAAGGCAGAACCGCATGCGGTGCTCTGAGTTCCTTGGAGGAATGTACTAGGATAAATAGATTAAATAAATGTAAAGAACTGTCTGGATAAATGTAAATTTGAAAATGGTCACAAGCAGCTGCTGCCTCAGCAGTTTAAAAAAGTCTAGTACATATTGTATAGATATCCCATCTTGCCAATGCACCTTCTCTTGTCATTCAGGGTACTCTTAAATTAAACTAAACATATAAATGGTAACACAGCATGTTACTCATTTTCTCTCTCACTTTCATCATATATTTAGCAAGAACAGGATAATGGAGACAAACAGCCCAAAGATAGTAAAGCAAAATATACTACAAGAGATATGTAAGAGAAGATGAAAAAATCAGAGACTTATTAGGAGATGGATGGATGGATTACTGAATATGACCAGCACTGTTCTACATTAAAGTGTGGTCATGAAATATACATGACAGTACAGTATTAAATTACGTTACTGCAAACAGAGTGGTTATGGGGGGAAAAACCCAAGCTCTTAGAGTAGGATTTAATCTGTTTTAGTCTTAGCAAAGTTTGTAAGTTCCATTAAGAGATCCAAAGGGTAGGTAGCACATGCACAAGGCCTTTTCAGATTATCCCTTCTTAAAGCAACCCCCCACACTTCTGGAGGAGGTACTCCTGAATGTAAACAGATACCAAAGAACAGCATTCAGTGGGGGTGGGGGGTGGGCTACAGCTGAAAATGAAAACCAAGAAAACTACTGTGATGCACCACAGCTGCCTTAAGGAAACACATGGAATTCTCTGGATTTTGTCTATTTTCCAAAGTTACTAAAATGAAATTCTGACTATGACCCAAGCCATGTGATTTTCTGCAGAATTCAGACCTGCATCTAGAAGAGGCGAAAAAGGCAAGAGCTGAAGAGGAAAATCTTTCCAATTTCTTTTATTAATCAACTGTTTTTGTACACAGACATTATTTTGAGCCTTGACTGTGACCCCTTATCAGGTAAGCAGCGCAGTTTTAAATTTTGCTCAGCAAGACTGGGAGGGGAAATATTTAAATGTGGGAAATAGAAAATATTGCACATGCTAAACTTCATAGGTACCTCAAAATGGTCTGCAATACCTGTTAGGTTATCAGCAACAGGCACACTTAAACTATATCTATACGTCCAGTAAGAAAAAAAACCCTCTTAAGGTCAGAGATAAAAGCTATCCAAGGTGTCCAGGAAACTAGTAGTATACAGTCTTGCAACTACTGAAATTGGGGGCTTTGTCTGCAGTAACTCTGCACTGCACAGTCTTGCCCTGTAAATAAAACAAAGCCATACAGAATAGCCTGGTAATTCCTCTCTAAAGTATCAGAATACGATCATTTTAAAGAGAAAATAAAAATGCAGTATGAAACACATTTAGTTAACAAAGAATGAAACTAGATATCCAAATAGTTTTCTGCGGTTCTCATCATCACATGCATGACTTCAAGAACTGTTTAACAAATAGTAGGGGCTTTACTTCACTCCTTACTGGCATTTTGTACTATAAGTAGTCTGCATGATCCACTCAGTTTATGTTCTGGCATGTAAAATAATTGTTTTCTTACGTACGGTATTGCTCAGGTGGTTGTCAGGAAAGTTTTCTGTCAGCTGCCCATGCTGGAAATGTACGTTTGCAGATAGTTCTGTCATTGGGACTCTTTACTCCACAAAACTTTCTTTCTTTCTTCTTGAAACACTGCAACTGTAAAAATTTTTAAAACAAAGAGTTGTTCTGAAATCCTATATTCTTTTTTGTACACTAAAATGAAATTAAGATCCTTTCTTAGCTGTTGGCTTTCTAAACTATATAAACCATTTGAAATGGTTTCCTTTTCTTGAGTATATGTTTAATGCATTGCTGGGTCATCTAAATTCAAAGTTGCCAAAAAGTATTATGAAGTATTTCACCATATGTAAACTACATTGCATTTCTTGCTTGTTAATGTATTGACCAAGTTTAGTTCCAATGCTGATATATGTATTGACTGTTTATTACTGTTTAAAATAAAAAATTAAATTTGGGGGGGGGGGGAATATAGCTTGTAGTAAAGTGACCTGTAGTACTTTGCTGAATCACACTCTTCTGTCCTCATGCATGTACATTCCTTCCTCCCCTTCCAGTTATGGAGCCAGTTACAGATGATGGCAAAACTGGCTTAGTACTAACTATGGTTTGCATTAATCCCAGGCCCATTATCTCTTTCCCACCTGTGCCCATCTCACCCTTTATCTCTCTCTTTCTGAAACAGCAAATCATAAGTTTCCCATAGACAAGCCTTTGGTAACTTAACTAGGCCTAAAAGTCTGAACCACAGTTGAAATGGCTAAACAAGGCCAGTTCCTTGACAGCTGTGGTGTAGACAAATGTCCATAGCTGCCTTACACAGAGTTGGACCATTGATCTGTTTAGTTTGGGAAAGTACTGATTCCTCTGGCTGTAGCAGCACTTCATGGTATAAGACAGGGGTCCCCCAGCATGGTGCCCATGAGCTCCATGGCGCCCGCTGACACCTTTTCTGGTGCCCACCAAGTGTTTTTAGAAAATGGTTGGGGCCAGGTAGGGTTTTGTCCCAGTTAGGTTTCTGATTGACTACTGGAGACGTTTAGTCTGAAGAAGAGAAGGTAGAGAGGGGACATGATTGGGAGGGGCTGTCACTTAGAGGAGGGCAGGAAGCTGTTCCTGTTGGCAGCAGAGGATAGGACTCTCAATAATGGGTTTAAATTAAGGGCGGGAAGGTACTGGCAGATATTAGGAAAAACTTTTTGACAGTAAGAGTTGTGCAACAGTGGAATCAGCGGCCTAGGGAGGTGGTGAACTCCCACTCACTGGCAGTCTTCAAGCAGCGGCTGGACAAACACTTGTCAGGGATGCATTGAGCAGGGGGTTGGACTAGATGGCCTGTATGGCCCCTTCCAACTCTGTGATTCTATGAAAACAGGGGTGAGGAAAGGAGAAGCATAGGTGGTTCTCCCAACTGCCTAACTACATTGGGAAAGACTGTGGGCCACTAAATGGTGATAATTCTGAGAATGTATCCAAACAAACCTGCTGTATGACTAACTGCATATTTCACATACCTCTCACCTCCCAAATCCTATCATAAAAAATTGTTCTCAAAATTTGTAGCTAAATAAACTTTCCAAAAAGGTCATAGGTACAATCTTAAATCTTGATATCTGGAAGTCTGATATATAGTATCAATTCTAGGCTATGTGATGTTCAGAATTTAGAAGACAACAGTTTACGTAAAGAGGTCAATATTAACAACTGCCAAGAGAATTTGAGCCACTGGCAATAGAGGTTCATGTTAAAAAAGGTAGAGAAGGCTGGTTGAAGAAAGGCTCACCTAAAGATCTAAGGATGAGTGAGGAAAATGGTCTATTGATGAGATAACAAAGACTGTTTCAGGCATAGAGTACAGCATGACTGAAGGCATGGAATGCAATGATACTTAGATGCAATGTTTTACATATTTACTTGGAAGTAAGATGCACTTTGTTCAATACATTCATTTCCAACTCCCCCCCCCCAAAAAAAGGGGGTACTAAGATAAATACATTCAAATGTGGAATGCAAGGCATGCATTTATGAATTCAGGACCCATCACCTACATACTATGCAGGTCTAAAATACTAAATATAGGTTTAAAGATCAATGAGAATACATTTTTTTAAATGTGTTCTTATATTCTCCACTCCAAGGTCTAACAATGAAATGTAACAAACAGCATAAGAACTCCCAAGGCCAGGGGAAATCTTAAAATATCAGGGGAAAAAATATAATTTAAGACAAGGCAAGCAGGTGCAAAATGTGAAAAGTGTTTTGCAAGACTTGAACACAAAACTACTGTTTCTAAAACATCAATTAGGCATTAGCCTAGCACTAAAATACTTAAAACCTGAGCCAAAGCAATTATCCAATTAAGTGCTTGGTAGCACTTGAATTACTTCAATTCAGCCATCTGGGGTTTCTCTCTGATACCAATTGGCGCACATACTACTTTGCTGCTAGGAAAGGAACTCATCTGAGATCAAGTACAGGCCCACAGGAAATGGTACTAAGGCAGCAACCAGCTAACCAAATGGAGACCAGGAAAAAGGGCCAAATGATTTCCTGCTTATTGCATTTATACTTCTCATCTGAGATTTTAAAACGATAATAAAAGCGGGCCCACATCTGCCTGGTGCTGTGTGAACTGCACTGGCTGCCTATTGAATACGGGATCCATTTCAAGGTGCTGGTGCTTACCTTTAAAGCCCTATACGGCCATGGGCCTGCATATCTTTGAGACTGCCTCTCCCCATATGAGCCCCAGAGGGCAACGTACTCTTTGAATCAACATCTGCTGGTGGTCCCTGGCCCTAGGGATATCCAACTTGCCTCAACTAGGGCCAGGGTTTTTCCGGCCCTGGCCCCTGCCTGGTGGAATGAGCTCCCATATGAGATCAGGGCCCTGCGAGAGCTTCTACAGTTCTGCAGGGCCTGCAAGACAGAGCTCTTCTGCCAGGCCTTCAGTTGAGGCAGCGGGTATCCAATTCAATCTTCTCTTCCCCTTCCTTCCCCCTATGGGTCGCTCTGATGTGTCTGTTGAGGTCTATTTTAAAGTATTAGTATTTTATTTATTTTATTGTATGTATTTTGTTATTCTGTCTTTATGATGTAAATCTGCACTCAGCAGATTATTATAGGTTGGAACCCACCCTGAGCATGCTTCGCAGGGAGGATGGGATAGAAATGGAAGGAAATAAATAAATAAATGGTACTGCAAAGCCCACTGACATAAATGCTTTTTTCTCACTATCACCATGAACTGATGCTTTGATAAGGCAATCAAAAATGGCAATTCCTTCAGTTTCTGACTGAGTAGTAAAATTAGTAGGTTAGCTGCTGAGAAAAATATCCTTATTTCACCCATTCATAAGACTGGCAAAGCTTTAATGAAAGAATGTCCAGGATAAATTGCACAAAATTCAGAAATCTGTAGAACAGTGGTCAGCTAACTGAAAGCTCAATGTCCCTCTGTTTTGACTTTAGTCCATATGACAAAAATACAATTGAAATATTTTTAATTCTTTAGTGGGATAACACTGAATAGTTAGACCAATGAAGGCAAGTGCACAATTACAACATATTATTAGAGTTTGTACAATAAAGCCAGGGCAAGAATGTTTCAAAAGTAGTGAAATAAGGAAGTTATACTAAAAGAACAAAAAGCTGAAGATGACTCTGTATTTATTCATAGTCATTAAAGGCTATACCAAAAAAGAGGACTAGCACTGCATCAAAAAACCTGCATTTTTAGTGCTTCAACCCTCTGCCTACATACTTGGCAGTAAGTACATTTATTGTGTTCAAGCAAACACTCACAGGATTAGGCTCAAAGTTTCTTCCTTGTTGTCCTTTTAAGTTCACTTTATAAATTGCCATACCTATGTAACAACATTAGGCCCTTGTAAAGGAATGTAATAGTGAAAAAAATTAGAAATCTGAACATAAAACATAGGAATGACAGGATAGAAATAAAATGTTATAAAACAGGAACAAAGACAATGAGATGCCAGCTTTTGGTAGCAGTTAAATAGCCCCTACCCCTTTCTGTTCTTCTGTCAATAGTTTAGTAAAAGTTGTCAGAAAGAATACAGTGAGAGTGTAGTGGCTGGGGAACATGCATGGGGATAAGTGAAGGAGGCAGATATTATATTCATGTTGCAAATGTTTTTAAAAGGAGTCCACAGTTGTTCTACACTGATTTAACAAACTGAAATGGGAAGTCCTTGCAAGTGGTGTTGGAGCACTTACTCAGTAGTTGGCACTGTATTTATAGAAACCAGGTAGAAACCTAGAAAAAGCTAACCACCATTAATAACTATCATTATTAATTAGCTCACATGCAGGTAAAACATATTTTAGTAGTTGTGGCGCTGCACAATGTAGCTAATATCTGCTCCTAATTTCTCCCCTCCCATCTGGTTACACAACTGAGCACAGGTTCTCATGATTAACTGATTGCCACATTCCTGAATCTGCCACATTCCTGAATCTGACCTTGAAAGAGAGAAGGATGGTGTCTGCAAGAAGGCCCAAATCTTCTTCCAGCCTGTGAGCTGGAGTAGGCCTACTAATAATCATGTTAACCCTTGAGGGAAATTAGGGTGCTTTGCCTCATACCATGTCATGAAAACCTTCACGGGCCCATGTGAATACATTAAGCCTCTATTAATGGGGCAGAACATGGTTCCTAACAACCCTGAAAAAATACAGTATTTACTCAAATGCAAGACTAGGTTTCCTCCCGCCAGGTATGCCAAGAAAAAGAGAGAGAGAGATCATCTTCTATTTGCATACAAGTTACAGCAGTTATGTCCAGCAACATACCTGTTTAACATTTTTGAGGGGGTTGTCTTACATTCAGGGTCATCTTCCTTTTGAGTAAATATGATCTATGTTGGAAACAACTACAGGGATGTGGGACAAGGAAGGCATTAAAAGACTGTATGGACAGACTAGGATGCTACAAGAAATGAAATTATGTTCTCTTTTGGAGAGGATCTATTCTAAGTAAGACCGTTTCTTTGAGTTTACCTCCAGCAGAAGTGTTTTACAACATAATGCCAATAACAGTCACAACCAATGTTCCCTCTAAGCTGTAGAGTCTTGTGAGCAGAAATTCTATATTGTGAGCGACTGGCATTCAAGTTGTGAGCGGGCGATTTGGCTGCTGCATCAATTAGTTTGTTCTGGAGCCCTCCTTCCTGAACTAAGACAAAAATGTTTGAGCCAGAGGCTAAAAAATTGTGAGCTAGCTCACACTAACTCAGCTTAGAGGGAACACTGGTCACAACACTGCTTAGAGTCAAAAACTCCTTCTCATTCAAACAATTCCCTCTCCCAAAGAAACCCACTTTAAAATCCAAGTCCAAATTTTTATTGACTGTCAGCTAGAAAAATGAGCAAACCAGCATGATATTAGCATTACTCTCATCTCATTAATAACTTCTACTGTAGAAACTACTTCAAGATCCCTGCTGACAAGTACCGGATAGTAATTTGCTACTCTTCACTGTGTTATTCTGTGTAGGTAAAAGCAGCCAAACAGCTTTTGAATGGCACTGATATAGATATAATATTCTGCTAAATGAAGTGCCAGCATCTCTCATTTGCAGAGGCAGAATCAGAGTTCCTTGCCTATTCTGTCATAAGATAGTATCAGGATTTAGGGCTACTATTTTTTCCTTGGAAGAAAATCTGTGTCACAGACAGAAATTCAACAAAGTTACAATTGCATCTAAATGGAAACATAAGCACCCCCCAGCAATGCCCCCATGGCATAGAAGGTTATGGGACCATTTCTTGATCGAGAAAATCTCAGATCAAATCTCAGTTGGAGTCTCAGTTGTATAATTCCAATTTCATGGAACAATAATTCCCTGTGTCAGATTTTTTGATAAATAGCTACACATTAAATAAAATCCAGTCAACCAACCGTTACTATAGCCTTTTATCATACTTTTAATTCTTCAACCATGATATGAATAATTTATCTAGTCTACCTTACAAAAGGGAATTCAAAAGGGAATTAGATAAGCATCTGGAGCAGAGGTCCATCAGAGCCTATTAGCCACAAGGTATAGATAGGGGCTCTGGGGCAAGTGATGCTGTCTTCTTGGTGCTTTGGGGGGTGGGGTCAACAGTGGGAGGGCTTCTAATGTCCTGGCCCCACTGCTGGACCTCCTGATGGCACTGGTATTTCTGGCCACTGTGTGACACAGAGTGTTGGACTGGATGGGCCTTTGGCCTGATCCAACATTGGCGTCTCTTATGTTCTTATGTACAAATTGATAATACAGAATTATTTTTTCTGGACTCTTTGTTATCACATAGTTATACTTGGTGTTTAAAGTTTAAAGTGTAGTGGTTAAGTGCGCGGACTCTAATCTGGGAGAACTGGGTTTGATTCCCCACTCCTCCACTTGCACCTGGCTGGATGACCTTGGGCAAGCCATAGTTCTGATAAGAGCTGTTCTTGAAAAAGAGCAGTTTCTGTCAAGAGCTCTCTCAGCCCCACCTACCTCACAGGGTGTCTGTTGTAGGGAGGGGAAGGGAAAGGAGATTGTAAGCCGCTCTGAGACACCTTTGGGTAGTGAAGGGTTGGGTATGAATCCAATCTCCTCCTCTTCTTACTGTGTACCTTGCAACTGTGTATAGTTCAACATACTGATCTTAACTTAATATATTGTACTACTGCTCAAAGTGTTTCTGTTTATAGTTTGTAATCTCAAAATAAAAAAAAATTACATTAAAAACAACACATCTCAGTATAGAGGAAAACTGCAAAGGACAAATTTAGCAGCTGTAGAGCTGCTAAAAGCATAGAGACTATATCAGTAAAAAAAATTAAAACCTTGAACTTCAACCAAGGTCTAACTTATTCACAAACTGGTATTTTCTGGGCACATTCCCAAGATTGATTTCAATAATGCTCACAAGTACACGAGTGGTCAAGAAGTGGAAACTTCTTCCCTCTCTTTCAGGCACTTTCACACGTGGGTTAGGACAGGCATTTTAGTCCAAGTTATCAGGAATCCGGTAGTGCATGGAGAGGAGAAGGGGGAATGGTCTTTATTTTAAAATTTAAAACCGCAGAGTACAAGGAAACTACGAAGAAGACCCCCCACTTTAGGGCAGGGAGTTGGTCAGAGCCTACTACGCTCCATAGGATATAAATACGCGTGTAAAGGGCGACTGAGGGGAGGAATTGGGGGAGGTGTATCGGTCATTTCCCACTATGGCCGAGGAAAGGAGGACTCCCGAGGGCTGCCGCCTTACCTCCCCCCCCCCTTCAGCCCCTCCCCAAAGCCGCCGCTTACCTGCCCCCCTCAAAGCCGGCCCGCCGGTTTGCCCCCCTTCCGACCAGAATTCAGCGTACACCCCTCCCCTAACGCTTCCGGCCAAGGCTCCACCCAACGCCTCAATCCTCCTGTTCCTTTAGATCAACCCTTCACCTCCGCCTGCTCTATGGTTCATCGCGGTATGCGCCTGCGCATTACCCGAACTTCTAGTCGCCGGCACCGGTTGACGGAAAGCAGAGCCCCGCCCTGCCTTGGCAACAACAGCGGCAGCCGTAGGAAGGAATGACGCGCATGCGTAGCGCAAAGTTAGCGGCGCATACAACAGCAGCAACAAAAACTTCTGGGGGGGGGGGGGGGGGGGGTTCCAGCGTATCGTCGCTGCGTGGGCTCTAAATCTAATGGTTTCTTGAATGTTGTTATGTAAGGTGACCGCCAGTAGTATTCCATGCAGCCTGTCTAATTTTCTTGAGTTAACACCGTATTAGTAACAGAAGCTTTCTTCCCCCTACGGGAAACAATTTCTGCTGCCAGTTTTACTAAGACACATTACAGTGCATCTGGAAGATCCCTCCTCCTCCTCAGCATGCTTTGGCGCAAGTGAGCTCTACTGTATCTACCTGGGTTTACTCTCAGGTGAGCATACACAGAAATGCAGCATTTAAAATGGTTTGAGAAGCAAGCAGAGCACCATTGCGTGTAGCACTTGTGTCCGTTAAAGTTTACTGCCTCAGCGCAAACAGTTTAACATCACAAATGCCCAGACTGGCTAGCACAAATTGCTTTGATGCAGAAAGTAAATACTATTTGTCTGTGAATTCTATGACAGGTGTTGCCATCTATTTAGGATACATAATGCAGTGAAGTTGCAGCCAATTTATGGCGGCCCAACAGGTTTTCAAGACAGAGACAAACAGAGGTAAGTTTGCCATTGCCTGCCTCTGCATAGCAAGCCTGGACTTCCTTGGTGGACTTCTATTAGTCCCACAGCCTTCATACAAGTCTTGCAATGGTGTAATGTGACCTTGGGCCAATCACACCCATTCAACCTAACCTAGCTCACAGGGTTGTTATGAGGATAAAATAGAGGAGACAAGAACAATGTAAGCCACTTTGGATCTCCATCGGGAGAAAGTCAGGGTATAATGAAATAATACACAAAGGCACAAATTAGGAGTCACAATGCGTAGATGAGATGATGGAGTAGGGAAGAATGGTTTGTCAGGCACTGGGATGCTTTTTGGAACAAGCAGGACCCGTACAAGAGAGACTTGTCCTGAAAAGGAACCAGGCTGCTGGTGCTTAAAATCAAAAAGGTGGCAGAGCAGTTTTTAAACTAAATCCTGCAGGAAAGCTGACAGGAAAAGAAATGTCTCTGGTTTGGGGTGGCTCATCTCTAAGAGATGAAGAGGTAACTGTTCTAGAGGGAAGTGGATTAGGACTGGCCACTGAGAGGGTGACAAACAATATTGATTGTGTGACAAGGCCTAGAGGCCACAGGAGGAAGGTTGCAGGCCTAACGTCTAGAGAATTATAGATGTTCATATGCAAATACTAGAAGTGTCTGAAGTGAGATGCCAATGTTGGATCAGGCCAAAGGCCCATCCAGTGAAATGCGGAAGCTGGAGTGCTTAGTGTCAGAGAACATAAAATATTGTGGGCATTTCAGAAACTTGGTGGGATTGGGATAATCAGTGGGATACAGCGACTCCTGGATATAAATTATATTGGAAGGACAGGGAGGGTCAGAGGTGGAGTGGCTCTGTATGTCAGAAATATACAGTCCAGTGAACTTGAGAATCTAAGACAAAGGTGTCAAACTCATTTCTTGCGAGGGCCGGATCTGATATAAACATCACTTTGTTGGGTGGGGCCATGTGTGCCATAAAATGTAACATGAGGTACCAAAGATTTGACAAACTTTATAAATGCTGAATGGCAATAGCAGGTGAATAACAATAGCAAGCTTGATTTATGTAGTAGGCGTGGAGATACCAGCACTGGTAATGAGACAGGAAACCTAGCTCTTGATTTGGTCCAGGAGGACTGAGTCCAGGAGAATATAAAGAATAAATGGACATAAGTCTGACATTAGAAACCACAACATTCAAAAACCAGTGGGGGAACATTTAACTTTCCAGGACATTCAGTTGCTGACCTTAGAGTAGCCGTTCTCTTACAAAGGAATTTCAAAGGGAGATTAGAGAGACTGTTGAATTGCAACTGATAATGTTCATTGCATCCTCCAGGACTGAATTATGACCTGGTATTTTCTGTTTCATTACCAACAGCTGCTATAGTCATTTGGCATCTGAAATCACACCACTCTCCAAGATATAAAGACCAATGGAGTCATATTCTAGCTGTATCTGAAGAAGTGAGCAGTGACTCATGAAAGTGTAATATCTGTCACAAATTTTGATAGGTGCTACTGGGCTCCTGTTCCTTTCCACTAATAAAGATTGCAAACTGTGATGTTAGGTTTCTTTTTTTAACTTCATCTTTTAAATGGGGGGGAGGGGGGGTCGCTCCAAGTGAAATAATCTGTTGATTTCAGACTGGGCAAAATCAGTAGTACATCAGAAGCAAAGAGGAAGTGAAGAAGGGCAAGCCAGAGACGGAGACCTATTGAACTGGAATAAATGGGATATAAATGTATTTTTAAATACTTAGCCATCTACTTCCAGTAATTAAACAATGGAATCCAATCTAAGTGTTCTAATTCCTAATTAGGGTCTTTTTGAAAGAAAATAAAATCCCAGATAGGCATTGAGAAATCTAATCTTAAAAAAACTTTTTCAGTATAAGCAAAAATAATTTCCTTTTAATCCTCCTTTCCCCTTATCCTAACGTGCCCCACTTTTAATACACATACATGTGTGCATGTGTGAGACAGAGCAAGAGAGCCCAAGTCTCAAAGAAAACAGCAGAGTAGGGCGATCTCAATGTAAATTGTGCTGTTACTGTCATCACAGATAATTTTAACTACCCACACATCAATTGGGTCAATATGTGTTCAAGTCAGGAGAAAGAGATTGGGTTTCTAGATACTCTCAATGAATGTGCCATGGAGCAGATGGTCACTGAACCTACCAAGGGGGAGATGATCCTGGACTTAGTCCTAAGTAATGCTCAAGACCTGGTGAGAGATGTAAATGTGAGAGCACAAGTTGGGAACAGTGACCATAGTGCTATTAAGTTTATCATTTCTGTAAATAGGGAGTTGCCCCAAAAGACCAACACAACTACATTTAATTTAAGAAGGGGTAACTTCTCTCAAGGAGCTGTGGTGGCTCAAGTGGTTGAGATGTTGAACTACAGGCTGGAAGGGCGGAGGTTAAGCAGTTCGAGACCCGAGTGCCGTAAGACGTAGTGAGCTCCCGTCTGTGGTTCCAGCTCCTGCCAACCTAGCAGTTCAAAAGCAAGAAATTGCAAGTAGATAAATAGGTACCACTTTCTGTGCGCCTTGGCTAGTTATGCTGGCCACGACCATGGAAATGTCTTTGGACAGCGCTGGTTCTTCGGCTTGGAAACATAGACAGCGCTGGTTCTTCGGCTTGGAAACATCCCTAGAGTCGGATTCGACTGGCTTTCAAGCAAGGGAAGAAATTGCTGTTAGGTTCACACAATAGCACTGTATAGACAAAAATGAATAAATAAACTTGTTGTCTATATTTTCAGGACAAAGGACGTCTGACACTGAAGATGGGTGATTGTGTCAGTGTCAGACGTCCTTTGTCCTGAAAATATAGAAATTACAAACATCATTGAACGTCATCTCAACAAGTTTATTTATTCATTTTTGTCTATACAGTGCTATTGTGTGAACCTAACAGCAATTTCTTCCATTATTGTTGTATCTTTAAATTGCTGGTCCCCTTTGTAGATTTATTTCAAGCAAGGGAAACCTTTACATTTACCTAACTTCTCTCAAATGAAGGGGCTTGTGAAAAAGAAACTGAAGGGAAAGGTAAGGAGGGTCAAATCTCTTCAGGAACCTTGGAGACTATTTAAAACTACAATACTGGAAGCTCAGTTAAAATGTATACCGCAGGTTAGGAAAGGTACAAATAGGTACAAAAAGGCCTGCATGGTTAATGAATAAAGTAATAGAAGCAGTAAAAGGTAAGAAGTATTATTTCAAGTGGTGAAAGGTTAATCTGAGTGCGGTACATAAAAGGGAGAAAAGGCTTCGGCAAATAAATTGCAAGTCAGTGATCAGACAGGCAAAAAAGGGCTATGAGGAACATATTGCAAAAAACATCAAGAACAATAATAAAAATTTCTTCAAATGCATAAGCTGAAAACCAGCCAGGGAGGCAGCAGGGCCCTTGGATGACCAAGGGATGAAAGGATTTCTAAAGGATAGGGAAATGGCAGAGAAGCTGAATGCATTTTTTGCCTGGTTTCACTGTGGAAGATGGGAGGTCCTTGCCCACTCCAGAACTGACAATTTCAGGAGTGGTGTCAAAAGACTTGAGTTGGATTCAGGTGATGAGAAAGGAGTCCTACAACTGATGGATGAATTAAAAACTGACAAATAAACAGGCCCAGATGGCATACATCCAAGAGTTCTGAAAGAACACAAATGTGGATCTCCTGACAAAAATGAGCAATCAATCACTAAAATCTGCCTCCATTCCCAAGGTCTGGAAGGTAGATAATGCAACCTTCATCTTAAAAAAGGTCCCAGAGGAGATCCAGAAAATTACAGGCTGGAATCTGTTATCAAAGATAAAATTAGTAGGCACATTGATGAACAAAAGTTATAGAGGCTGGGAGAGTGGGCGTTAATGTGACAAATGCACACTGGACCCAAAAGTCATAACTATAAATACACATTGATGAGGTCCAAACTGGTGGTAACTGGCCAGGAGAGATATTGGAGTCATGGTAGATAACCCCCTGAAAATGTTGACTCAGTGTGCAACTGCAATAAAAAAGGCAAATACTATGCTGGGGATCATTAGGAAGGGGGTTGAAAACATATCATAAGAACATACTATGCTGGGGATGATTAGGAATGGGGTTGAAAACATATCAGCCAATATCATAATGCCCTTGCATAAATCTTTGATGCAGCCTCATCTAGATATATATATAAAAGGCTAGCCGTGTTCCCGATGACTCTCCTTCTACCTGATTGGGCTAGCCATTCAAGGTCATTTGCATATGCAGGTTGATTGGGCCTTGCCACCCCCACCCCTGGGGGGGTGGTCTTGCTCCATTCTGTACATCATCCCCCCAATAGCCAGTTTGAACACAGAGGTTGTTTGCATATCCGGCCTGATTGGCCCTCACCTCCAACATTCTAAATAGTTTGCTGTTGCAAGTCATTGAGTGTGTCCTGAGGTAAAATACATCTCTGGGGTTGCCAATCTCCCTGTGGGGCCTGAAGATCTCCCAGAAATCACTGTGTTCCCCATCCATAGCATATAATTTCCCCTACAGGAAATTTCCCAGCTATTACAACTGATCTCCAGATGACCAAGATCAGTTCTCCTGGAGACAATGGCTGCTTTAGGCAGTGGACTCTATGGCATTATACTCTGCTGAGGTCCCTTCTCACCCAAAACCCTGCCCTCCGCAGGCTCTACCCCTCAAATCTACAGGTATTTCCCAATGCAGAGTTGGCAATCATGTAACTGGCTATGGAACTGCTTTCCAGACTCTTGGAACCCAGAAAACATGGCATAGGAGTAGGTGCTTTTCTACCTTAGCTGCCACTCCATAGCCCCAAATCAACATAAATCAGGGGTGGATGGAACCATATCTGTTACCATGCGGCTCTCCTCCCATACTACCCACTCGGGGCAGCAAAATTACTTGAGACAGCCCTGTCTTATAACTAAGCAGAAGGAAATAAACATGGCTCACCTCCCTCTTTTTCCCCGTTCCCTCTGCCCCCCCACCAGCCACAGCCAGGATACTTACCTGGAGCTTCTTTCTAGAGCTCGCTGTATTTCTTCCCACAATGGGCCTTACTCCTAGTTTGGAATATTGTGTACAGTTCTGGTCAGTGCTCCCCAAAAAAGATACAGCAATGGAAAAAGGGCAGCTAAAATGATTACAAGGATGGAATGCCTTCCCTATGAAGAAAGGTTAAAGAAGTTAGGGCTCTTTAGCTTGCAAAGATGGTGACTGAATGATGACATGATAGAGCTTAACAAAATTATGCATGGGATAGAGAAGGTAGAGAAAGAAGTACTTTATCCCTTTCTCATACTACAAGAACTCATGGGCACTCGATTAAATTAATGACCAGTAGGCTTAGAACAGATAAAAGAAAGTACTTCTTCACCCAAAGAGTAATTAACACATGAAATTCACTGCCACAGAAAGTAGTGGTGGTGTAACAATTCCTTGTCTTTGTGTGTGTGTGTCTCTTTAAAAGTTTGGTTGCATGGCTGTGGTAGATAGACTAGAGTGGTTGAGAGAGGCAAGTGTGGTATGATTGGTGGTTGACAGAGAGGGGGAGGGGTTTTGGAAGTGAATCTGGTTGGATGAGTATGTATAACAGACTGGAGTGAAACAGTGAACATATATGGCATTGAGATAAACAAGTGTTACAAAGTTACATGAAAAGATCCCTGTCAGTGAGGGAAAAGATTGAGTGTGATACCAAAGCAATTGTACATCATTTACACATTACTAGTTACATTGTATCACCCTCTTATTTAGTATTTATTTCAATAAATCCTCTTTTATTTAAGTTTATACCAGCTCTGAATGAAATACTTCTCAGGACCACATAGTTCCTCGTAAGCCTTGAACTCGGTCTACCAAACTAAAAAGAGCAACAATAGAAGCATAAAGGTTTGGAAATCCTTAAAATTTCCTGGTGGCAGCAGAATCTACCCAGTTAAGAAAAACAAAGAACACTTTTAAAGTGAAACTAGTCCTCCCCAATAAGGAGGACGTCACAGGTGGCTACAAGCATACACAACTTCAAGAGGAGATTAGATAAACATACGGAATCCATGAGTGGCTGTTAGCCACAAGGTATAGGTGGAACAATATGTCTGGGGCAGTGATGCTCTGTATTCTTGGTGCTGGGGGGGCAACAGTGGAAAGGCTTCTGGAGTTCTGGCCCTGCTGGTGGACCTCCTGATGGCATCTGGATTTTGACCACTGTGACACAGTGTTGGACTGGATGGGCCACTGGCCTGATCCAACATGGCTTCTCTTATGTTCTTAAATAAACAGTTTCAAAAAGACGAAATAAACTTTTAGAATGAGCATGAAATCAATTATGCATTTGGCCTGAATTTGCCCAATTGCGTGTGTGTGTGTGTGTCTAAGTACAGTAAAAACAAACCATCATTTATTTATATAGTGACAGCCTCAAGTAGCTAAACAGGTTATAAACTCAACATTACACCTAGGAGTTTCATTAGAAGTGGTAGAAATCTTACACTCTTTAAAAACCTCCACCTGTTTTTTTTTTTTTTACCCTAGCAGAACTGCTTTAATTTTTCACTGGTGTGATAAACAAAATTCTGTCATTTAAAGTTGAACAGTTATGAAAATTACTGTAGTTCTGATGTTCATTACTTATATTTATTACTTTTAAAAGATTGCCACGTACCAAAACAAACTTAAAGATACTGATTTGCATCTTTACTTTGAGGTGGCAATTCTAACAATTCTTTGATTTATATTGCTGTAAGAAATATGTAGCTGGACCTACATAGCCCTAGCTGTAGCACCCTTACAATTCTTTCCCATTCCCTCCTCACAAAGGGAGGTATAGCCAGTGTGTAAATTTCTAATCTTGCACCAAAAATGATTGCATGCTATTAACAAATTTGTAAAAGGAGCTCTGTTGCATTAGACAAAAGATTCAGTTCCCACAGTGGTCAACCACGTGCCTCTAGCAAACCAAGATGCAGGGCATAATGGTCACATAATAAAATCATATTAATAAAATATGAATATTCATTAGTTTTTAAAAGGAAATAATGTTAACTGGTGACATACCTTGAGACATTATTCAAATAACCATAGTACAGATCAAATATATACATTTTTAATATCTGAAATATTTACATGTTGGAACCTTGATACGATCCCATTTGTTAAGAACAGTTTTCAGATGTCCTCTGCAAGATAATGCAAGAATTCAGTAACTCAGGGTCATAGTTATGCCTTCTAAACAGATGAGCCTGTATCCTTCAGGTAAAGAGATATTCAGAAGAGTGGCATTAAAAAAACTGATCAATTGTTGCTTCCTGGAACGTGTTCATCCTGCAATCAAGAAGGCCCATAGCATACAGTTGTACTTGTGTATGAGATAAAAAATGCAGTTTACAGTACATTGTTACATCAGCGTATGTATAAAACTCATACAGAGTAAGAGGGAAGGAAATATTACCCTCTATCAATCCAACAGAGACAGCTTACAGTACAAAAAGAATCGTTACAGCTGACTTGATGGCTTACATAAAAACAAATCTCGCCACTGTTTGAAAACATATGATTTAACTTTGTAAACTGTTGTGCTCGTTACATCTTTAAACCTTTTCTTTCCCCAAGTATCCTAAACTGGCTGATGAGTTTTATTTTAAATCAAGAAAAGATAACATATGTTTAAAATGTCAAATCTGTTTTAGAATGAGGGGCAAAACTCAAATAATGTGTATACTAGTTATCTTTGATTTAAACACTCCAATGTGTGAAATTCTGTCATCTAAAGACTAGAAGGCCTCATGTAATGAGCAGGAAATTATCAATGGCTTTACAAGGATGCCTGAGTTGATGCAATACCATCATTTCCCCTACAGATTCATCTACAAATAATGCAAGTTTGTTCTATTTTTACCAAATCCAACAAGAGAACAAGTCCACATTCATGCAGGTGAAAACTATGGTGCCAGCAATGACTCCCATCCATTTTCAGAATCTTAAAGTTTATTCCCATCTTTAAAAATGGATAAGGGAAAGAAGAGGCTGATGTATTTACATAAAAATTCAATTATTTTGGTAAGCGGTAAGCATAGATGTTTTCTAAAACATGGGACAATATTTACAAGAAACAGTTTAGAAGATGAAGATCAGAGACTGTGTACATCAGCTGCAGTTTATAAACCATATTTGTAACTGTACCTAGTGAGAAACCACCAAATGCAGGATTTGGATAAGTACAACCAAGGAAGCTGGGAAGTGAAGAGGGCAGGGAGGGGGTCTCAGTGTTACAGAAGATGAAAAAAATTCACATTTTCTACATTTAAAAATACAGGTATCACAAATGTCTGAGGACAGAGAAACTTCAAAGTTCTTCAGTGGTGGGAAACAAAAATTGAAATGCAGCCCTTAAAAACAAAATGATTCTTTATTTTACCAGACCAATCTTTTTGGCTTCTGTTTCATATATCAATAATCTCCACATTTTGACTATAAAAACTTCGGCTTCTTCATCTAGCACCTGCAACAAATGAAAAAAGTAGGGAATTATACCTTAATAAGAAATATCTCCACCCTGAGCCTGCTTTGGTGAGGAGGGCAGGATATAAATCAAATAAATAAATCACTTTGAATGCATTTGGTGAATTTTATTTTTAGATATATTGAAGAGGTTACAAATTTATACAAGTTAACAAAATTCTGGATTTGGCATGTTTTCTGCCTTCTGCTTACCATAGCAACATCATCCAAGATGCTCTGCGGCGAACTATGAGCCATAACCTGCAAAGACAGATATGGCTTAAGAGTACTAATCCATAAAGGGAGCAAAACTCTACAAAACCCAGAACCAACAACAACAAAAAGACCATAGCTTTTAATATCAAGCACAGTCTCCACACTGAATGAGTCAGAAGGTGGGCCAAAATGTAAAGTAAATAAATAAAAGTTATTTTAAAAAATCCTTTGTTTGATTTTGAATGGGCATTCCAACACTTTTGTAACTACTTGAAATAAGGGAATGAGAGGGCAACTGCCACTTGCTCCTCACACTGCTTGGTGGCTATGACTGCAGCAGATTACCAGCACACAATCCTCTAGGGTAAAGGGGTGCATGTCCACATTAGTTTTTTGACCTTGACGTCTGCCACCCAACAGCATTTGGTAAAATATTTCTACATTAAAAAAGAAAACAGACATGTTGTGTCAATCATTTCCTTTGGAGAAATACTGTGAAAAGGAAATGACTAAAACAAAATGTACCACCTTCAACCCAAAAGGACAAGCCATCCCAACATAAATTTATAAAAAGAATGTTCACCTTTGAGCAAACAAAGTCAACTAGAGTTGCTTCTTCTTCACCAATATATTCTATTATCTTCTTGTTGATCCATGGCCTTATTCTACGTTCCATTAATGTCTAAAATAGAAAGTGGCATTTCAAGAGCATCATTAGCTTTCTGTTTATTGCAACATTTATTTTTTCATCTAGGAGCCTAAAGTCAGCCACATAAGAAATAATCCCATAGTTGGGCTGCAAGCTTTAAAAGGCTTTAAACAGTAAAATGATCACTTAATGTGAGCACAACTGAGTTTAAGTCTGAGAATTATTCTTCTAGGGTATTCCTCTAATGGATAATGAATGCCCCTGCTAATTAGACATACATTTAGAATAGAGGTTGGTGGACTAGTTGAAAGTTGTGAAGAGGAGTACTCAGAAGTTAACAAATGTTAAATATCAGATTGCCTTGGCAGCTATAATCCAGTATACACATACTAATTGTCACATGACTCTTCCAAAGGCGGGCAGCATTACTGTTAAATTTAACTTACAGTTTATGGTTTAGATCCTAGTGAATTTTCTGCTTGAGTGAGGATATGATGGGGTGATTTTTGGAGACTGCATCCTCCCATTGCAGACCCCCACGTTGACCCACACGCTGTTCCTTGGGGTCTGTTAACACCTGGAAGCACAGCAGGCTGCAGCAGGAGGGGGAGAGTTGCCCTTCATCTAATGCGTCTCCACTCATGGTAGACGGGCTCCACCCCCTCATGTTTTAAAACTTTTATCTTTCATTATCAGAAAATGTTGAAAACACTGGCCTTGTAATTGCAATACTAAATCTTGCCAGGTTATAGTAATGTATTTGGCTTTAAGGCGCCATTAGTTATCTATATGGATATGTGTATATTGATTTTTATTGAGGCGTTTTGCATATTATAAACTGTCTTAATCCCACATTTTGTGCAGAAAGACAGTCAACAGTAAATTAAGCAGTTACAGCTCTAGTAGATCAGTCTCTAAAGCCAGTTTAATTGAAAAAGGCACACCTGTTTACTTTCTGATGATATTTTGGAAGCTTTAAAACTGTAGCAGGTAATGACATAGGAAATATTTAAAGGGATCTGTAATTTGGTAGCTATTCTTTATTGGATTGTAAATTACCTTTCAGCTCCTTCAATATCTTAAAGATGCCTATACTGAATTTGTAGTAATATACCTATTTATTTAAATAGGTGGGTTAAAGGCTAATGCTTAACCAAGAGACCTGTGCGGGTAGCTGGAGTTTTGCTTTTTTTTCCTTTCTCTCCCTATAGACACTTGCAAACAACAACTTGCCTGTATCTTCATTTCTCTCCTACACGCTCTGTCTCTCAGTCTAAACAAAGATGACCAAGGAAAGACTTGACGGTAGTGAATTATTTTTGTGCAGCTTTTCCCCCTACATAAAGTAAATGGATGAGGGGTCGTGTGGTGTATTTGTGGGTATGCTGAAGTAATAATTTTACTGCAGAGGGTCTGGGACTATATACAGCAATAGGCAAAGATTTCCAAGTCATTCGGCAAGGCAGATATGAAATCAGGATCAAGACTGAAAATAAATGTCATGAACTGAGCTAGTGGACTGGTATTCTCAGTCACAACTATCATCAGCTATAATCATTCACAACCCTATGCAACACAGGGCTGTTGTTAATTAAAGCAAAGCATCACTTGTACTGTATTTGACAATTCACTAATCAATGTCAAACTTGAGAGCTGACAAATTTCTATGATAAATTCATGTTGCTGACTGCACTCCAGATTTTGTATTGTTTGATACTCACTGAATCCACAATAGACCAGTCAAGAGGATAAGCAAAGAGCTCTGGTTTGGCTGTGGGGATTTTCTCAATAAGACTCTTAATGTGTTTACGTTTCTCTTCAGTATTTACACTGCCTTTGGAGGAGCCTTTGTCTTCATCACCATAATCCAGTGGCACAAGTTTTCTTTTTCGGGGCATGTCATCACTGTCTTCATCTTCAAATTTATTGAACACACTGTCCACAGTGAGTTTCTTTCTTTTCACAGCATTGGGCTGGTTTGGACTATTGCAGGCACCTACAATATAATGGAAAAGGTTGTACATATTAAAAAGTTTAAAATTGGTTCTAATATATTTAAACACCAGTTCTGAATATTGTATAAGTGAAGTCTTTGCAGTTAAAAGTATGAACAAATAACTTTAACCAAAAAGAAGAAAGGGAGTTTCACCCTACTCTGGCCCTTTCTACTCATTTGTTGAGATGCTGTACAACTTCTGGCTTTTGAAATGGATCAAAAGTGACTATGCTTTGGGAAGTACAGCAAAGCCCATAGAACTGACTCAAGGAAGTTCATTATGGCAACACTGAGTAGTTTTGTTATTTTTTGTTATTACTTTGTTATTTCAAATCCTTAGAGAGGGGAAAAGAAAAAAAATGTGAAAACAGTGTTCCCTCTAAGCTGAGTTAGTGAGAGCTAGCCCACAGTTTTTTAGCCTCCAGCTCACATTTTGTCTTAGCTCAAGAAGGATGGCTCTAGCACAAACTAATTTATGCAGTAGCCAAATTGCTTGCTGACAACTTTAATGCCAGTAGCTCACAAAGTAGAATTTTTGCTCACAAGACCCCACAGCTTAGAAGTAGCAATACACAACACTTACCCAGTTTAAGACTAAGTCCTATTTTCGGCCTGTACTCCTCTGGCTGCTGCTGATCAGGTGAATTTTCATGTGGGATGATAATGCCACAAGGTGATTCATCCCCTGGGGTATTAGGAGTTGCATTGCCACTTGCTGATGAAACAGATGGAGCAGAGCTGATGGGTCGGAGTGTTGGCTTAAGACAGGGTTTTTGTTCCGGCTCTTCTTCTTCTGGTTCTTCCCTTTTTTCTTCTTTTTCTTGCTTTTCTTCCTCTTCTTCTTCTGATTCTGGTTCCTGTTTGGTTTGTGGCTGTCTACGCCTCTCAGCCTCTTGCTCCATCTGTGAAACAAGACAAATTCTGATGAAGAAAAAGTAAGTGACTCAAATCCTACAGAGCGTCATTTCTACACTATCTGGACAGTATTAGAATTATTATACAAACAATACTACCCCAGATTTCCCATAATCAGATAATCCTAGTTGATCACAGTAATAATTTTAAAGGTTTAATTTCAAGATTAACAATATTGTCATGCTAATACAGAGAGATTCTAAACCAGAAGGTTTTTGAATGTACATACATAAAGCATGCAGATAAACCCCCACATTGCTGACAAGACAGTTACTACCAATACTCTATACTTAATATAGATCTACCATTACAAGAATGTGAACTCATTTCTCTTCCCCAAAAAATAATTTCCTACTCGTTGTAGCTCCGCATCTGGATCTGGGTGCCCTTCTGCCAGAAGGCGTTGCCGGATTTCTTCCAACTCTTCCTTCTCTCTCTGCCGATCCCTTTCATCTGCTTCCATTTCCTTCTCCCGGTCTCGCAATCTCTTCTGCAGGGCACTTCCCCTGTAAGATCCATTCACTTTTGATTTACAAGGTTTTGTAACACAAGCTTCCCCCATGAATGCTTGTCAAAAGCAAGCACATCAACCACTCTATTTGGAATCAGGACTACAAAGGATCTTGTTTTATTCTCTACAAATAAATTGTTTTATGTATTGAACAGTAATAGTCACATCTGCATCTTGGCATTTTGATTCCTAACAGAAAGAGCCATAAAAAATAAATCTATAAACGGAACAAAAGAATTCTAAATTTATCATAATTTTAAAATGTTAAACCTCCTTATTTTTCCAATACTATTTTTCATAGTTTTCTGTTTGGTATGCTTTATTTAATGATCCCTCTTATTCATATTAAATGTTCCTAAATGGGACCCAAATAACAAGTCTGATCCTTAGCAAAATGTATACAGGAACAATTAATTACATTTGGAAAATTTACTATTAGAATTTCTTACAAATATTATGTGTAGTTTATAACAAGCACCTTGACACAGAAACAGCCTAGACACCTTAAAAATAAATTGTTACATGTGGATTTTTTATCCAGGGCACAGGACTAGGCCAGTAGCATCCATTCAGTAAAACCCAGTATGGACACTAAATTCTGCTGAAATCATACTGGTTACCCTGGAAATGATTAACACATCCATCCCTAGATCAGAAAACAAGGTTTCATGTTGACAAAGTATTTATATTTTTAACACAACTAATTTAGTGAAGCCTGAGAGTGAGTGAAGATCTGCTTTTGTGAATATTAAACATACCTGTAATATTTTGGGTCATCTCTGTCATCATCATAATCTTCTAGAAATTCTTTTAGACGTTTAGCTTCTTTTGCCTATAAAAGTTGAAACATTTAATATTGTCTTAATCGTCTGTTTATTTCTGAGAGCATTTTCTGTTTATTACGCTTGAGTAGAAACTGCAAGAAGTCCTTCTCCACCAGAAAAGTTACCATAGTAGAAAACTTGTGTTTGTGTAATAGGGACTAGTTTGTTTTCCCATTGATTGAAGCAAGACTACCTCCTCTCTAAATACTGGGAGTAATTTCACAGCATCTTTGGTTTCCTCTGGCTTCTCAGATCTTACTTGAATCCAGATTTACCACATAGTTTGCAGAACAGGTCTGTACCAGGGTCCTCCCTTTTTTACTGTTCCCCTGATAAGTTGCTTCAGAAGGTTTGGAATAATATGGCATATATATTGTGTGTGTGTGTGAAATGGGAAGTGGGAGAACCACCTCACCCCTTGCATCAGCTCCTCCATTCACACAAAAGAACAGGAAATGGGGGATTTTGACCCCATCTGTCTGCAACCCCGTGACATATTGTACACCGTTCCCAAGGTTTCCAGACCTTCGGGGGAGCTGGGAGGAGGGAGAGAATCAACAAAAATCATTTCTGCAAACTCAGATCATGAGAGGGAGGGCCCGAAAGGGTTGCATCAGTGCTTAGTTCTTATGGCCCTTTCTTATATGCCCAGGAAAATGCTGATTGTCACTTCGGCATCAGGAAGCAATTTTTTCCAGGTCAATTTGGCCAGGGATCATGGGGGGGGGGGGTGGCCCTGGGCCTAGAGCAGGGGCCACGGGGGGTGGTTGGAGTAGATGACCCTGGAGGTCCTTCCAACTCTAAGATTCTATGATTCTATTCTGTGCTAAGTTTGGATTCAAGCTAATGATTTGAGTCCAGCATTTCTTATTGAGTCAGGGTTTTCAAAAAAGTGCCCTGAAATGTATAAACAAAAACCTGTGTCCCCCAAGTAATACCAAAATGTAGGCTATGCAAGGCCTGAGGGAGGCTTTGGGTATGAGCTGTTTAAAGCTGCAACCTCCATGACATATGGCAAATCAGATGAGAAGCCTTTCAAAAGCAGTCTGTCCTGAGGTACATATTAAAAGCAAAGCATCCCACTGGGCACACAAATCTAAATTAATGATAAGGATCCAGAACTCTGACTCAGCAAAAACAGACTAAATTTGGTATGGTTCTTTTCCACCTTTTCTGAGCTCAGAACCATTCTGTTATTTTCTTTAAGAAGTGTACATATACGCACTATATTCAATCTTAGACATGCTCAAGGTCTCCCTTTTTCAGAGACAGACCGCTTTTCCAAACTATAGGAGACTAAAAAAATGAAAACTGAAGCTATGCACAAACACAATGACAAAACAGCATTTTCAGACAGCAACTTCAATTGATTAGGAGCTGAGGCCAATACAGTTTTTACTCCTTGAGAAAGCTGAAGATTCAAGATATATTTTACCCTTCTCCAGTCTGATCCATCAAATCAACAGCTGTTTGATCAAACCCTGACAGTGTGTGTGAAGTTTCATCATCAGCCTACAGGGTTACTTACAAAGGGCCTGTCAGCAAAAGTATCTGTGAATTTCAATCAATCATCCCCTCTGATTGCTCAAGTCCTTTTTAAAGATTCATCTTCCCTCCTTTGCCTTCACCTCCACAAGCAGTACGAAGAGAGGCACAGCAAGCAGACAGGACAATCTTTTCTGCTGTCTCACTGAGTCTGTCCAGTTGCTTTTGGCCTAGGTGCTCTGATACCAAAGCTGACCTACTTTGATCTATGCAATTGAATGCTATTATGAACCTGAATACTTAAATTTAGAGGGTCCTATGAAATTAACTCCCCTAATCTATGAGTCTTTGGCATTATACACCAGGTTTTAGAACGGTGCCTTATCAGTAGAGACTGAATAGTCTGACATTAAACATTAGAAAGGCACAGACAACTCTTTCTGCCTTAAGGCAGGCATGTTTTAGCCTACAACAATCCTGCAAAGCTAATGGGCTGGTCCAATGCAGTTGAGGTGGTCTTCAACACATGCAATGGGAGTTTCTTACCTCCATCTTTGCACACTCCCCAAATCTGTGTGTGTAAGCACACTTGTGCTGAGGGTAACTTGATCACTGTAAATTTAAATATACAGGCAGACAATCCTCTCAGGGACAGTAATGCCACCTTTATTATGACTAACTAAAAGTTATAAACTATTGCATTTCACAAAACTCTTTTTTCAGGTTTAATATTTGAGGGAAGAGGGAGAGAAGGACTTTGGATCAGAGCTATGACTGTGAACATCTGATTTTTCTTATAACTGTGCTCGCTCAGGTATACACACCCATACTCGAGTAAAGCTTTTAGCCCAGATAATTTGATTTAAAGCAAATTCATTTACAGATATTCTGTGTAAGGCTGCTTTGCCAACAGGACACACTTCACCAAGCACCTACATGCTAGTACAAAGACTGTGCCATTTGTGTGGGGGAGAGGCCATGGCTCAATGGTAGAGCACATGCTTCACATGTAAAGCGTCCCAAGTTCAATCTCTGACATCTCTAAATTTTAAAAAGTGTATATTAACTTACCATTTCCCTTCGTCTTTCTTCTTCCCTTTCTGCTTCTTTTTCATATTCTCTAGCTTTTTTCCGTTCTCTGATCTCCCAATTTTTAAGACGCTAAAACAAAATAACCACTTTAATTTCCCATTTTTTTAAAACTAGAAAGTCTCATATTTCATTTAAGAACGAGCAAATTTACCATCCATGATGTAAACCATTTGATTAGGTCCATCAAGAATTTTTCTCCAGCACGCACAAAGATTTTTGTAGCATGCGTCAAATCTTGTCCAAAACAAACAAAATATTCAAAGTGTGTTTTATACAATGGATACAAATAGGAAATATCCTGCAGTTAAACAGTCAAATCACAAATGATCTCCAGATACCTCTTGATAAGCTGCTTCCTTTTCACGTAACTTCCTTTCCAGTTTGCGTCGCTCATAGGCATCTTCTTCATCCTCTTCTCTATCCCTTTTCTTGTCCTTTTCTCGTTCCCTTTCCCGTTCTCTTTCTCTTTCCCGTTCTCTCTCTCTCTCCCGCTCCCTTTCACGTTCTCTTTCCCGTTCCCTCTCTCGGTCTCTGCTTTTCTCTCTGAAAGACAAATATTATGTTATTAAAACAAGTAATTTCCACCATTTAATGCTGAGTTTTCTTTATAGCCCATACTAATGCTAAAAAAGTTATCAAATTGCAAACACACTGCTTAGAACTCTCTTTAAGCCAGGGTCAATTATTCATATAGACAACATCCTTCCTCAAGTGCAGTCATAAGGCCAATAATCTTTTGAACAGTGACATACTATATTTGGCTTCATATACTGTTTGAAAACTTGGCAAGGACTTTAATTGATGTAAAGGGGGTCCGAGGAACAAAACATCAGCAAAGTCACAGGGCTGGATCCAAGGTTTCTGTGATTGGAGTGTATCTGCAGAGTGATTTTTAGTGCTGTCTTCTTTCCTTAGTAACTCTCCTTCTGTAAGCTGCTGCTACTGAGTTTCAGGGGACCCTCCAAAACAATGCATCATGGTGGGAAAGGGAGAAAAGAGGGAAATTGCCTGAAATAACTTGTGTTGGATTGAGGCTAAAAGACATTAAAAACTGCTTCCACACTTGCTTCATTTGAAGAGGCTTTGGATCCAAGCCATATTGTTTAACACAGATCTTCTATTATACACCAGTATTTTGAAAAATGGGTCGTCTCCAGCCATTATTTCACTTTGAAAAGAAATAAGCAAAGTTACTGACAAGCATTTATTACCCTCCAAAATTTCTCACCTAGATCTGCTCCGATCTTTATTGCGGTCCGAGCTCCTTTCACGGTCTCTCTCCCGATCCCTTTCCCTGTCCCGGTCTCTGTCTTTAGTTCGATCCCGATCTCTATCCCGTTCTCGTTCACGCTCCCGTTCCTTCTCCTTCTCTCGTTCACGTTCACGTTCCCTTTCTCGTTCACGCTCCCTTCTCTCTCGTTCACGTTCACGTTCACGTTCCCTCTCACGCCGTTCTTTTTCAATTTCTTGCCTTTCTTTTTCTTTTTTTCCTTTTTCCTCCTCCAGTTTCTAGAAACCAAGAGGATTTTCGGTTACTTTGTAGCTACAGACAAAGGCCCCATCCCACCATCACGCACAACACCCAAGGCTGGTATTGAGCATAACAAAATCACCAATGATTTAACATTTAGACATTAAATAGTTTGCTTTCAACTCATAAGAAAGAAAACAAAGTTCTGTAACTTTAAAGCTAGATGTTATGCAAAGAAAGTCTCTCTAACAGACCAGCAACCTCCAACCTTGGATAGAAAGGCAATGCTTTCCAGATATATACTGATGATTACACAGCACATTGCCTGAAATGCTTCAAAGTAGAACTAACAATCGCAAAAAGGAAAGAACTACTTAAGCATAAGCAAGGTGAGCTTTTGCGAACAAAAGTTAATCCTGCCGAGATTTCAGTAGGATGCTATCAAGGACAAGACAATTAAATATCCCTGTGTTTCAGCCAAAGCAAAATCATCCTGTGAAAGGATGGAAGGCAAAATTTACTCATTGCATAATGAACTCTGTGATTGCAACTCCAATCAGGAATGTCCCCCCTCCCAGCTTTTTTCTTTAGCATTCACTACTTCGGTATTTCATTCTACTCTTCGTAAAGAAGAAAGGTTGGAAATCACACATAGGAGACAGACCAAAAGGTTATCCAGTACAATTTTATTGGATTTGTATAAAAATGCATTTTTAATTGAAAGAGACATGCCTATGACCAAACGCCTATAAAGACAATAGAAAAATAAAAATCACTAAAGTGACAGATAAATCCATCCCTGGAAGCAATTGGTGTTTGTTAACTTACAGATGCTGTGCTAGGACATGGACCGCCAACACTGGATTAACCTTGCCTATAAGCTATATTTCTGGGAGGAAGAGCAAGTAAATGGTTCACAAATAAACCAAAAAAAAAAAAAAAGCAGATAATATCAGCCTAAATGATGCCACAATATTATAGGCATGATTCTTCCCCACAAGACTGGTGAGTCTGGAGAGAATCAGCACAAGGCATAACAGTGCCGTTTTTGTCTCCTCCCTCCTTGGTATTTCCACAGTCTCTTCAGGCTGTTATAGGAAACTGGAGATCTGTACATGCCTCACCTATCTCTGTTCAGCCAAAAAAACATGAGCAGATGAGGATGTATGAGGCATGCACAAGACCTTACACTGTTCACAAGAGCCTGGCAAAGGGCCTGTGTGTGTGCCCATGAGCAAAGGGTAGAAGAATGGGAAAACAAGGCCTTGTTATATCCTATGTGCATCCTTCCAACACAAGGAAGGATCATGCCCTAGATATATTTTATGCAAATTAAGCAGGGGGAAAACCAACAAAATCAAACCATACAAGGTTTATCCCCTTTGGCACTGTGACACCACCAATGAAACAAGTTATAAGCTGGAACAATAAAGTGTGCATATATTTCTGAGTTTCAACAAAGAATTTAAGACAACTTTAAAAATATCTTACCTGACTGTCTTCTGATATGCACTCATGGACCAGAGAACCAAAACAGGGATATAGTAATAAAATTTACGAACAAGAGATCAATATATCTATTCACCATACTAAATGCTACTAACAGCTGTATATAAGCAAGATGGTGTTAGATACACTGAACTCACAAAAAGAAGGGGGACAAGAATGATAGAAAACTGTCATTGTGCAAAGGAAAAGGTGGAAGTGTATAAAATGTTGGGACAAGACAACTGAATTTCTAAATGAAGTGTCTTTATAAAGTTTAGTTACATCTAATAGGGCATATTAGTGTATACTATATCAACTTTCAAAAGCAGAACTTACCTCAAATTTCATATTACTTTTATAGAAAAGTTTATATACTGAAATGATTGATACTTACAGATTATTTTAGCTGTTCCAATAAAATGTCTTTGGTTAAGTTCCTTGATTTTCTCCTAAATTTTCTTTTGCAGTAAGACTCATGATAAAATTATGCCTTAACTTTGGCTTCTTAAGGGCTTTTTAAAAAAACTGTGTTTTTCTTAAGAGCCAATGAAAGAATCAATCAGCATAGTCATTTCATATTGTAAATTTAAGTAATAGGCTGCTACCATGTAAACAAAAGGATATGAAGTAGGACGTGAGGTGGGGGAAGGATCAGAGACATGTCAAGATAAATGGGCAAAGAGGATAGATAGAAAAATCAAAATGTCTTACCTTAGGTTATCTTCAGACTCATCTGTACTGTAAATGGACGCCCCCTGCAATACTGATATACCCTAACAGTCTGATTGATTTACAAACTCTTACCAAAAAACATGCAAAGGTTCACTGTGCTCACTAGCAAGCCCCTTTTAAACATCCCACCCAATAACGTTAAATGGTCACTTTACATCTATTTTAAAGTTGATTCAAAATATCCCCCCAATAAAATGGATCAAAGGCAGAAAATTGCCCAATTGCTTCTGAAACAGTGAAGCATTTTTTTTAACCACATGATTTCTTGTTTTTGGTGACTTGTTGGGGCTTGGAAATAAAACCTTTTCACCACTGACCATCTTCTGGAACAATAATCCCTCAGGTTCTCATTCCCAAATTATACTGGAATATTTTGCATTGCCAGTAATGTACATCCACTTCTGCCTTTAAGTTATATGTAAATAAGCAAATAAAATGATCCTGTAACCAGGAGTACATTTCACCATTTTGTACCTTCAAACCATTACACCAATAAACAAAATAATTCATTTCAGGGGTGAACACTTCATTTGACATGGCGTTCTCCAATCTTTGTTGGGCAACATTATCATTTCCTTAGAAACTAAACATCAAGATACAATGCATGCATTACTTGCATCTCACCACCCTTAAACCACCCTTCCCAACCAGAATGCATTCACAAATTCACATTACAGAAACTTCTATTGGTGGGAACCCTGAGGTAGGATTTGCTGTGTAAACACATTTCCAAGCCAGTTACCCCTTTGCATATTTTTCTGAGGGGGCATCCATAAATAATAAAAAACAGAAGCTCATACTTACATCCTATTCCATGTTACTTTCCAAGCTGTGTGTTTCATCTTGCATTAGTCACCATATGATCTCTATCATAATGGTGGGGGTCAATGAATAGATTAGCTTTTATGGGAATTTACAGTTCTTCCATGCATCTAAATTTTGGTCAAGTCTTGTAACCACTATCCTAATTTATTTTACCCCCATTCTCATCTTAGAGCTACTAAATTAAACCTTAAATTTTAAATTAAGCATTAGAGCTTGGTATAAACAGTTCCCTTGAATTAGGTGTTACAGCTTTCTGAGTACTGTGGAAGTCAGAATATGTTTTACATGACAGCTCAGTTCAAGTATTTGGTCTCATGTATATGATTTTATCCACTTTGGATATTACAGAAAGCGAGATAGGATTTTAAAAAATGTATTCAGGTTAAAGTGAGTAGACTGCACTGCAGTCATTAGAATGTTTTTTAGAAAGTACAAAATATTAGACCACATAAGTGGGAAAAAAATCTTTTTTGTTGCCTTTTAAAATACACATGATGACTACTATAAGAAAATTTAAATGATATGGTCATGTGCTGTAAATTTTCTAAAAGGGACAGGGGAAAGGAGACTGGATTTTGTAAAAACCTATGATTGTATAAATTCCAGAAAAACAACACTACCTTGTGTGTATCTCTGAATTTGCTGATCTCTCGGGATATCAGGTCTCTTTTGTCTTCTTCCATTTCTATAGCATTTATATCCTCCTACGAACAAAAAAAAGGGAGGGCAGAACACAGGAGATAAAATATTAAAACCCATCTGTACAGGCACAGGAGAACCAAAAGAAAAGCTGAAGGTTAGATGTTTTGTACCAGTCTTGTAAGAGATAAATAAAGGCCTTCTGCAGTACCAAACCTCACAGTCTGATGTTAAATGAATGAAAAAAAAAATCAGATGGACACGAGTCACAAATCTGGTAACTAGCAGTAAACATAGTCATTGTCAAAGCCTACAATGTAAACGAACCTTGGTGATGACTGGATAAGGTATCAGTGGGGCCACTGGAAATCTGCGGAAAATCTGCGGAAAAATCCACGGAGATTTTTTTTTTTTAAAATAGATTGCACACTACTCTGAAAAAAAACAATGTTCTGTATGTTTGTAGAATAAGCAATATTATATTGCTGTGACCCTAGGTCTTTGACTCAACAAAATTACAGAAGAACCTCGCTAATTCTCCTTTTACTGAACTACTTCTCAGCAAGGGCTTTGAGTGCCACCGTGAGGCCCCACACTGGCAAGTTTTCTTGTAAAATTGCAGCACATTGGCATATTAGGAAATCTTGCAAGCTAATCTATGTTTGTAAATAAGTGGCTGGTACCTTTTGTGGTATTTTAAGCCTGGTTTTGTTTCTTACTCGCTAATTCGCAAAATTTAATAAAATTAAAGGGGATTTCTAACAGTTACTGCAAATTAGCGAGGTTCCCCCACATCTGAAGTTTAAAAAAATCAGATTTCATTTGCCATTTCTTTCCCCACACTCTTGAATCACCCACATTATCCCTCATCTCTTCAGCCAACAGAATGGGCAAGAGAACATGTCACAAGCATTCAATAAAAGGGAGAATAGTGCTTTAAACCAAATTTTACATGGCACCCACCCTCATTTGTTGTTCTCCCCCACATACATATAGGTTCTTTAGACCCCTTCCTAAGAAATAAGGGGTAAGATAACATGCCCATGTCCCATCTGCATCCCTAGAAATCAAAGAGGTACTCTCCCACTTGCAAGAGGGGTGGATAGATATGGGCACAGATACAGGGTATTTGTGCTGATGGACAACACTAATTTAAAGTTCAGCCAAGTCCAATGCTAAATCGCTCAAAACTAACATTATCACCAGATAAATTCAATATTCAGAACTTGTATGATGGACATTAAGAAACTGAGTAACCCCTTGGTAGCACCCATGCCTCTACAACACTGCATGGTTTTCCATTATGTACATAACATACTCCAAAGCATGGATAAAACATTTAAAAAAGAGAAATGAGACCTTTCCTAGAGAGGTAAAGAAAGGAAAAACCTCAAGGCAAGAATTACTTCTCAGGTTAACTGTAGGCTAAAAATAATTGGGGGTGAGCGGTGGCATTCTAAAGTCATTCCCCCAAGTGAGAAGTATTTTTTCTGGCACTGCTCTTTCAATACTTC